TTCTTCTCTCTCTTCTTCTTCTCTCTCTCTCTCTCTCTCTCTCTCTCCTCCTCTCTCTCTCTCTCTCTCTCCCCCTTTTCTCTCGCACTCCTTTACGCAATTACATCTAACGAAAGCAATTATCGAGTTTCGTTAACAACGACGAAAAGAGAGCCTCGCAATTTTATTCTCGTTCTCTGAAGCGATTGATTGGCAATAAAAATATTTGTATCTCTGCACATGACTCCTTGATCCACGTTAGATACGAGTATCTGGAATATCGTAAAAGATATTGCGATAAGGGAAGAAGTGAAATTGTTTTAAACGTGTGCTTTTAATAATAATAATAGAAGTTTTTCTTTGGAAATTTTGTGGATATTTTGAATTATTTACACGATTTGATTAATATTTTGCGAAAAATGCGAGTATTTTAATTATTTTTGAACTGTTTGTTTGATTGGGATTAGATTATATTCTGTCTGATAATAGCTAGTTTATACCACTCTCTTATTCCCTCTTGTCTGATCCTGTGGTTATTTTATTTTATTTCTAATAGAATACGAACAAGTCGTGATCAAACCGAGTGTCGGATGTCGTGATCAGACGAATATTTTAACAGTGAATTCAAAATAGGCGATCATTCGTTAAATTTTCGATACGAGTAATTCATTTATTTGCATTATTCCTTTTTTTTTTTTTTTCCAATCTCTTTTCGCTCTGTCGAAAAACGGGCAAAACTCGATCGTTTGCAGAAATGCCGTTATAAATTCTATGGGAATTTGGTGGGAATCGAGTGAGGCAAGCAATCCTCGTAAAGCAAAGATAATCGAAACGCGAGGAGGATAATTATGTAATTAGTTTCGGGTAACAGGAATATCCGAGCCACGTTTATGTATACGTAAAATACAGGATTTACATCTAACTCAATGTTCCCGGGCGAGAGACATTACCGTCATCAGATCTCGCTATCGGGTCTGCGCACACCGAATTGAAGTAACGAGGTACTTTTGTCATTATTAACGTCTGTCGAAATTCATAGAGATAATCGAATATCCCATTCACATGACAGATTTGATTTTATATTCGAATCGAGTGAAGCAATAATTTGATTTATCATCCAAACCAAATTCTTCGTTGACTTTCTAAAAATATATATATTTCGTACATCAGCTTTCGAAATGCATTATCATAATATAACTCTCGATCCAACATTGATTAAATAATCTTTAATTAGAATAACAACAAAATTTACATTCTCTTATTAGATTATTCGATATGATTTCTTTCTTTCGTTTAATTTTTCACTCGGATTGAAGTAAAGAGAAAAACTTCGCAGAAATATTGTTGATTATTAAATCAACCGCTCGAAAATCGAATAATATCTTCCAAATTCTTTGAAATTCTTTTTCTTCTTCTCTGAAATTATTTTCTTTCCTTAACGTCTCGATAATTTTTCACAGGACTTGAACAGCAAACACTTGGACCCGGTGGAAGTGTTTCGAGGCATTCCATACGCTGCCCCTCCCATAGGAGATTTACGTTTTCGACCACCGATCTCACCGATCCCGTGGGACGGTATCAAACTGGCGGACTCGTTCGGCGCAGTTTGCCCGCAGCACTTTCCGGACATCAGCAATGACACAGCTGCTTTGTTGCAAATGCCTCTGGGCAGATACCAACAGCTGAAACGTTTGTACATGTTCCTTACCAACCAGAGCGAGGACTGCCTGTTTCTGAATCTGTATATACCCGGCAGTGGTAAGCATCCACCAACTTCTCCTATATCTGCATATATCCTTTTTTTCTTCTTTTCTTCTCTTGTTTCTACCTATTTTTGTGTGTATGTGTGTGTGTGTGTTTGAAAGTACACAACTGGGGAAAATAAATTCTCGAAACGGATGGAAAGAAGAATGATATCCCTTCGATACCCACCATCTCGCGTAAACAAAACTTTCCTCTCGAATAATAGAATTTTTATTATCGACCGATAGAATATTATTCTTCGGAGAGATGGATATTCGATCGAAACAAGTGAAAAAAGTAATGAAAAGCTTCAATTTCGATATACTTTTTTTTCATAATCGCACTTCTCTCATCCTTTTATTCCTTCTTTTTCTTTCGTTCCTTTCGTCGTATATTATACAATTTATATATCCAACATTCGGCGAGGAAACGCAAGAGAGAGAGAGAGAGAGAGAGAGACATCAGAATTCGCTGATGTAACGTTAATGAGGGGAGAATAAAAGGAAAAGGGGGATTGAAAATATATGTCGCGCATTAAGTATCTAATTAAACGTACGAATCTCCCCCTTTATATTCGCAAGATTCCGGGTGTAATGCTCGTAATTAATTAGCACGCGTTAATAACACACGGGCGGGAAATTTTGAGCCACCTATCGCCTGTTTATGGAAACAGTGCCGGTATTACTGGAACAAGTTACTTCCCGAAGTAATTAGTTTCGAAGTAATTAGTACCTTTATGCCCCACCCACCCCCCCTCCTCCCCTGTATTATCGCGAAAGTAAGAGAACCCTGCCCTCGTATATCATTGGACGAACGTCGTAGACGAATTTACGGCTCTGCACGGGCCGTTGAAAATTTTTCACCGAGTTTGCGAAAACTATTCTTCTTCCTCTTCCTCCTTCTCCCCCTTTTTTCCTTTTTCTTTTCTCTAATGGTTCAGCCGAGTAAGTGGATGGGATCTTTTGTTTGTAAATTATTCGATAGCCAGAGAGAAGGGAGAGGGGAGAGAATGAAAAGTTTTCTTTTTTTTTTTTTTTTTTTTTTGAAACTTTCCAAGCTCGACGAAGCTGAGAAATGTAAATTTCTTGAGTGAACAATATGTGAATAGAAAATAACGGAAAAGAGGATACGGAAAGGATTGACATTTCCTGTGAAAAATTTAAACACACGGTTCAAAGGTACAAAATATCGCGATATTTTCGCTTTTAATTTTTTAAAATTTATTAAAATCATAGAAGCGATTCATGACGCTTCGAGAAATTTACTTTCATATTATTAATTAGCATTAATATAATATGCTTGAAAGTTAAACTTCGATAAATCAATTATTACACAATCGCTTGCCTATCTAGCAATAATTTACATAACAATTTACCGTATCGTATAATATATCACGCACTAAAATATCTCTACGTAAATCTCGATATAATCAAAACCAAAAAAGAAAAGAATCATCTACAACGAAATCATTTTTCCTAATTTCAATTCTTCCTCCTCCTCCTCCTCCCCCCCCCCAAAAAAATAGAACACTCGTTTTCTATCTTCTCCCCGCGAATCGCGCTCCGTTCCAATCAACGATTTCCCCGAATTTTTTTTCTTCTCTCTCTCTCTCTCTCTCCCCTCGTGCAGGAAACAAGAGAGAGGAGGGGGAGGGGTTGTGTTACGCAATCGAGGAAATCGCGAGGGAGGCCGGTTGTTGTTCAACGCCGGTTTCGATCAAGCGAGCCGGCTGCCAATTAAACCGGCCGAGCGGATTGTAACGCGATAGAGAAATTGAATTTTCGGCGGGGTGGCGATAAAACCGTCGTCGCGGCCGCTAATCGGTCCGTTTCCGGGATCGAGGCCGGTTAAAGAGCGATTTGGGCCACGATTTCGTGGCCAACCGATTAACGATACCTGCCCGCTTTCGGTATTACAGGTAGGTGATAGGGGGTGATTAATCGCGCGGAAAATCGATTTTGATCGACCGTTTTCTCCCCGTCGGCCAAGTGTGAACGATGGAAGGAGCGATTCGAACGAGGCAGACGATGGTGATAGATGATGGGGAGACTATTATCTCGAGATGAAATCAAAAATTTCGAGTTTAGAAATCGAGTACAAGTGAAATTAATCGATTCTTTGATGAAACTGTTGACGGAAGAGAATATATATATATATATATATATATATATATTTTTAATTTAATTGATTATTAATTGATTAATCAAGAATTGGCTGATTTCAGTTGTGTTATATAAAAGAAGAAAGGAATTATAATAATAGTTTTCAAATTAATAAACAGGAATTCGTACTTGGAACAGATTAACGCCACACATTGTTTCGTTGTATAAAACCATCCCTTCTGAATGAATTTAAATTTGTGCAACCCGATCTCCGTCGATGATGATTTTCTCTTACGAAACGATCTCTTATCATTTAATTACACGTTGTGCGTACGAGAGTAGAAGGACACACTTTCGAAATAATAGCAAGGGGATCGCAAATGGTTTATTACGATGATGATGATAAATCACTGTAAGATCGATCGATCGTGATAATCGGCTCGAGTTTCGAGATGAATCGAATGTTAACGCGTTAAGGATCCGAATCCTATCTGCTCGATCGACTCTGCTTCTGATTCGAATTGAAAAAAGTGATTATAAAGGGATTGAAAAAAAAATGACAATGGATTCCTTTGTAATGCATATATAATACATATATATTTCTCAAATGCGTTAAGATCGAGCGTTTAATAACGTGGAAATTGTGAAATTTTCAGGATCTCGAGGACTGGAAGCGCCGTACGCAGTGATGGTATACGTTCACGGTGAAAGTTTCGAATGGGGAACAGGGAACATCTACGATGGATCCGTACTGGCCAGTGCCGGCCACGTTATAGTAATCACGCTTAATTATCGCCTTGGAATCTTAGGTTCGTGTTATCCCAAGTTATAAAAAAAATTATATCGTATCTGAATTGCAAATTTTCATGCAATTTATCAAATTTCTTACGAGCAACGCGATTAACCCTTTGCGCTCTCGGCCACCACTTGGATCGATGCGGCGATTCGAAAGGCGACAATATTTATTTATGTTTGATTTTTTTAAAATATCGGTTTTTTTTATCTCAAATTAAATCGAAGTACGTTTTAGTCCGAGTTTGACAGTCGTGGCGATAGAAATATTATTTTCAGAGTTTTCCAGTTTTGCAAGTATAAAATACGAATGTAGTGAAATTAGTTGAAGCGAAGACGAGTTTGATTTATTAAATAACGAAATTATTTCTATTCATCGAGACGATAGAGAGAAGGAAAATAGAGATGTAGTAAAAAATAAGAATAATAGACAATGAATGAATCTGAGAACACGTTATTGGGATATTAGTTCAAGAAGAGTTTCTCGTTATTAAATGACGAAATTTCTATTCATTTAGAAATTGACTGAATAGAAAGAAGGAAAATAGTGATAAGAACAGAGATGAAGTACGAAGAAGAATGAAAAATAAGAATAATAGACGGTGAGAGCAGTATCATTGGGATTGTAAGGTTTGCTCTCAATAAAATAAGAAAAGACATGAAACGACATTTTACACTTGCCCTGACAAACCGAGAATGCACATCGCATATCGAAACAACGATATAGACAATTTTTTAATACTCGACAAATTTTCTTTCTCTGTATATGATAAAGATACGTGAAATATTAAAATATAAAAAGTTTCATACGTTTAATTTATGCGCGAAATCATTCCAAGTTGTAGCTAAGAAATTCGCCCTGAAACGCAAAGGGTTAAAAGAACACAGAGCTTCCCCTAGAAATATGACGCGATAAATTCGAGCGTTTTCCACGTATTATATTCCCAATCGTAGCGAATAATTAATTTTCAATCAATTCCCGTAATATCCACCGAAAATACAACCGAACCTGCGAGCTCGGTCTGAATAATTTTGGATAAGAAAATACGAATAAAGCACCGCGCTTGCCACGAATAATTCATCCTGGCCGGATGAATCCTTACCCCGCCAAAAAGCTTGCTCATAATTCATTTAACCGCGTTAAACTCTCTCCCTGTCCAAGCGAGTATACCGAACCGCATTATTTAACATTATAATTGCGCGTCCCACGTCTCTCCCCATCCGTGAATCCATCCGATGGCGGGATTAATATTTTACAGCTCCTTCGCTGTATTCAATTACAACCGGCTATCTGTAACTGTAGAAACGAACCGATACCGAACCGGTTTCCGGTTTCCCCCCCGCGATCCAATGACGATCCGGATATCCGACACGGCTTCGCGTCGCGAAATGGACCCGGCAATGCAAGAGGGAAAAAAAAGGAAAAAAAAAAAAAATGGATCTCATTTGCGATATGAAACGTATCTTAAACCGGGTATCTGTTTTCCTCTCTATCCGATCAATTTATAACGAAGCTCGAAGGGATGGAGAATGGAATAAATGAAGGGGGAGGGGGGAAAATATAAATTGCGCGGGAGAAAGAAAAATATATCTGGTTTTATTAAAGAGGGGATAATATAAAGGGAGAGTGAGGAGTGAATCGAATGAAGATCGGTTCAGGATGATAAATTTAATAAGATGGGATGGAAGAATAAAAGGGGGGGGAGGGCGGGGGAAGGCAGTCGTGAAAGAAAATGGAAAATAATATTGATAGCATTGTTGAAAAAGAAAAAAGGGTGAGGGATAAATGGGGAAAATTCAAAGATAATAAGTTTACGATGTTAAAGGTGTAAATGGTAGTAGGTTTTAGAAGAAAATGGGGGAGGGGGAAGGGGGGGGAGGAGGAAATGGACGGAGGAGAAATAAATTTAACGATGTGAAGAAAAAAAGGAGATTGTTGGAGAGAAAGGAAGAAAACGGTGGTAGCGGATTAATAGAATCAAATATGGTTGGCGGTGTTCCAGGTTTCTTGAGAACTCGTCCTTATCCGGATAGAACGCCCGGATCCGGAGGAAATCTGGCGTTGAAGGATATAGCTATGGGACTGCGTTGGGTGCGCGAAAACATCGCTGCGTTTGGAGGAGATCCGACGAAAATCACGTTGATTGGACACGATACCGGGGCTGCGCTCGTCAACCTTTTATTGCTCGCTCCCTACGGGAAGGGTGAGTCGCATGGATTTTATCTCTTAGTGACGTAATGACAGCAGATATATCGTGTATGAATGGAAAAAGATTCTTATCTTAGAAAGAAATAATTTTTTTTAAATCCATCCTTTTCGAATCCTTTCGAGAACGACAACGAGAAAATTCTACTTCCTCGATTCGAAAAGTATATCGATCGTTTTTTAAATTTAAATTCACGAGATGCTTCCACTTCGATGGATTATTCCATTGAAAAAAAAAAAAAAAGAAAAAAAAGACCGCTCGAGCCATGGATTTATCATCCTCTCGAAAAGGATGGTTCATTTTTCTTCCCGCCTCGTGTGTTACGCATGCTAAAAACGCGCAAACACCTATCAAACGATCGAAATCGTGACACGCCAATCAGTTTCGAAAAGTAGTAACTTACACGCCGTGTATCGTCGGTTGGACAAATTGGAAGGGAATGGAGGGCGTATGACGAAGGGCGTGCACAATAACACAACGGATGAAAATCGATTTGGAATAGCGCAGAAATATCGCGTGTCGGCCGCGATTAGAGGGGGATCCTGACCACTCCGACACTCGATTAATCGGTAAGAGATTAGTCCAGCCGATCCGACAATCGAGATAGCACGCCATCTCACGAGGGTGAAAAATAAAAAAAGAGAGAGGAGGGGGAAGGCAAAAAATCGCGCGTATTGATCTCGCGTGAATGGTGACAAATTACGTGGTTTCGTTCCATTTCTCGAAAAAATGTATTTTTTTTTTCTTTTTTATTGGCCACTGCACCAGATCAAACGGGATTTTTTTTTCCCTTTTTTTTTCGATTTCGGTTGAAATTTGGATTTTTACAAGTGACTGGGTTTTTGTGTGAGGGAATTGCGAAACGTGGCTACCATTTGAACTTTGTACGCTCAGTATATGGTTATAAGAAGTGAAAAATATTTTTTGACCAAAGGCTTTTGCAATTTTTTTTCTTTTTTTTTTTTTTTACAGTTTTTATTATCGGTAGAGAAGAAAGATGTTTGAAATTTTGAAAGAAAGATAATTGCAATGATTTGCATTTTCTCCATTTATATTTTAATTCAATATCGATTTGAACGATCGTCGAAGAATTTGTTTAATTTTAGAATTATAGTTGAATGATATAATTGGATAGCCGACGATAAAATATTTAATGGAATTATTTTGCTCGCGAAATTGTAAGAGATTTCTTTTAAAACGAAAATGGAGCATGACACTTGGTTCTTCGAGTTCTCTAAGAAAAATACACGCGTACCCTCTAAGTGGAAGATAAATATTCGTCGTGTATAATATTATTATACACGCTTAAAGAGGTGCAACGCGTGGAGGCACTAATTATATTTTGAAGTTGCACGAACCCGTGAAATAAAGGACACTTTAGCCAATGAATAATTTAGAATGAACGTCTCTCGCTTTAATTATTCCCCGTCCAAAGATATCCTTGATATTTCTGCACGCTCAAGATTCCTATTAATATTGACATAAACTGTTTAATTAAATTAAATTATATCCCACTTAATTCTTTACCAAAGGAATCTTCTCGAAAGATAGAATAACGAACAATTTGAATGATTTTAAAACATTTATCGAACGGCAAAAAATATAAATTCCAGATGTGTGATATCGTATATAATTTTCACTACTGTTTTATTTAAAAAAAACTCAACTCAATTTTTTTATCAATTTTATGTACAAACCTATTACGAAAAGGCGAAATATTTTTTTATATATCCGTCAATTCGCGTGCCATTGTCAAAGAGGAATAAATATCCAAATATTTTATTTCAAGAAACGTGTATTCAAACGTTTAAAAATTGCCGGAGCACACTCGACGCGCCACCTATTGCAACCCATTAAACGTTTCAACGATACTTTCCAGCTCGAACCGCAAAATCGTGAAGCGAAGCGAAATTCGAAACCTAGAGATCCATCGAATGGATAGAGGCTGCATCGAAGATGCATTTTGTTACAAGTCGATATCCGAATCGGTTTTCGAGGTTCTCCCGAAACCGAGGCACGTCGAGTGTGCAGGGGAGAGTGTTGAATGGCCGAAAATTCCGTGACCCAGTTACCTCCCCATAGAAAATGCGTAACCTCGTTGATGGTAACAAAAAAAAAACAAAAAAAAAATAGCCGACTCGATAGCTGTCCCTGACCACCACGCAGCACGTGCCTTGCTTGAAACAGAGAGTGAATGCGAGAGAAGGGAAGGACAGCAATGGAAAAAAAAAAATGATGGTTCTTTTGAATAACTTTGAATATCTTCGAAACGGGAAATTTTATCGAAACGAAAACCGTTTTAAAGGATGCTGTATTTCTCTATGTTGTTAAAACGAAGAGAAAGAATAAGGTGTTTGGAGAGGAAAGAAAAAGGTAGCTTTGACGACTTCTATGTTTCGAAAATTGGATAAAGAATAGTGATTATTAGGCTCGAATTAATAAATTGATCGATTTACTATTTGCAAAAAAATTCTTGTACCAAATGAACAGAAGCCATAAAAACCGGAATAAAACGGGATAACTTTTCTCCCACCGGTTAATCGACAAATTGGTTTGAAAAAAACCTCGATTTAATTTAATTTAAAAAATTTTCCCAACCTTAACTCCATTCCTCGTTCATTCAAAAAAGAAAAAAAAAGAGAGAGAGAAAGAATCAAGGAAACGCGAAACAAGAAGAAGAGGAAGAAAAAAAAAATTCCCATTCGAGGTATCTATCGGAAGAACTAAGCGCTCGAACGAAATACCAAAAAAAAAAAGAAAAAAAAAACGTCTAACGAAACGAGTGTTTCGTACAACCGCTCGTAATTTCCTCGTAACTTCCTTCTGCACAACCTCCTTCCTCCTTCCTGGTGGAAATCGAGCGCGATGGGCGTCAACGCGAACGAGGGCAGAAGCGTGTAAAAGTCTCTCTGTTCGAGTCCCGTTCCTCCACCACCACCATCATCATCAGCGGGAGTGCATTCTCGCCACGATTCCGATGCCATGTCGGAAAGGAGGGAGGAGGAGGAGGAGGAGGAGAGACCCTCGTTCCCTTCCTCTTTATCCACCAACGAAGAAGGAAGTTGCTCGTCTCTGCCTGGTATATCGAGAAAGAAAATAGAAATGGGAAAAGACAAGAAGATGCAAACGAGAGAGAGGGAGAGAGGTTGGAAAAGCGGTTCTCGCCGCTTGCTGAACCTTCAGAAACGGCGGAGACAGCGCGTTACCAGGGCTGTAAAGAGCAGGCCGAAGATGTAAACTGTTTGGTAACATTTCCGGTGCAACCGGAAGCCTGGAAATGGCCGAGCAACGAGGTTGGGTCCTGTTCAGACAGCCGCAAGCATTCAAACCAACTCTCGCTCCCCCGTCTGCGTCCTGTCTCCCCGTTTGTTTTATCCCTTCCCGTGTCTGGCTCCCGTGGAACACGAGAACGTACCGTCGAGGCCCTCTAAAGCCCCTCTCTCTCTCTCTCTCTCTCTTTCTGTTTTCCCTCCCTCTTCCTCTTCCTTTCCCTCCGCTGTGTAATGGCCGTTTGTGTATCGATGAAGGAATCCGAGGGAGAAAGGGAGGAGGGGTTCGTGCGAGTTTCAAAATAGGAACGCCGGTGAAATTTGAATAACGAGATGTTCCTTTCAAAGCAAGATGTTCTTTTTATTATTGCTGCTTGGATATCCCGTTATATAGGATTGTTTGATGTGGATTTGGGTTGCGTTTCAGATTTTTTTCTTTTCTTTTTTTTAATTAGAATTAGTGAACGGAAGAGAGGAATATTTTATTGGTTTCGATGGTTTTAGAAAGAAATATTATTTTTATTCAACGTTCCTCAATTTTCCATGAAAATCGATCTTGTCCGAAACTATGCTTCGATGAAATTTTGTTTCCAGTTTCTTCAACTTTGTTGAAAGTAGATTGAAAATTGTTTGGATATCCATGTTATATAGAATTGTTTGATGTGGATTTGAGTTGCGTTTCAGATTTTTTTTCTTTTTTTTTAATTAGAATTAGTGAACGGAAGAGAGGAATATTTTATTGGTTTCGATGGTTTCAGAAAGAAATATTATTTTTATTCAACGTTCCTCAATTTTCGATGAAAATCGATCTTGTTCGAAACTATGAAATTCGATGAAACTTCGTTTCGAGTTTCTTCAACTTCGTTGAAAGTAGATTGAAGTGCTTGGCAAAAACTTCCAGCAATATATAGACGAATTTTAGTTTTTTTAGTTTTTTTTTTTTAAGTATTCCATTTTCCACGAAACGATATATAAACTCGGCGAACCTACGCGTTCACCTAATATTTCGCCGGTCTGTCACACAGATTTCTTTAGCTCACGATCCCGTCCACTGACCGAGCAGTCAGGTCAATTCGAAGAATCGATGCAACTGGCACACATTGAATCAGCCAATTGCCAGGAATCACGGTCCACTGGTTCCGTGATTACTCGCGAAACCAATCGTTCGTGATGAAAATCGATCTTGTTCGAAACTATGAAATTCGATGAAACTTCGTTTCGAGTTTCTTCAACTTCGTTGAAAGTAGATTGAAGTGCTTGGCAAAAACTTCCAGCAATATATAGACGAATTTTTAGTTTTTTTTTTTTTTTTAAGTATTCCATTTTCCACGAAACGATATATAAACTCGGCGAACCTACGCGTTCACCTAATATTTCGCCGGTCTGTCACACAGATTTCTTTAGCTCACGATCCCGTCCACTGACCGAGCAGTCAGGTCAATTCGAAGAATCGATGCAACTGGCACACATTGAATCAGCCAATTGCCAGGAATCACGGTCCACTGGTTCCGTGATTACTCGCGAAACCAATCGTTCGTGCACAGGGAGTGTAGGCGAGAAACAGCTTCTCGAATGAAATGTGTCGATGAAAAAAGAAGTAAAGAGTGAAGAACTCTTGGTAAAGGTTATTTCGTTTTCTTTTTTTTTTTTTTTCCTTTTTCTCGTGAACGAAGAAATTCGATGGGAAAATCCCTTATATCTAAAAAATAATGAAAAAGTTAAAAACAATAAATAAAAAAGAATAAGGAATTCTCTTTGTCCGATAAAAATTTGTCCGATTTGATGGAAATATTGGAAATAATAGACAAAAATCGTGAACGATTCTATATAAATTATATTTTTCGATAAATGGAATCGAGATGACAGACTCATTGTAAACTTGGAATAGATCGATACATTTTTCATCGAAAGAATTTATTGATCATATCGGAACGATGAAGAGGATGAGATTGTAGATTTTGAGAGAATAGAGTGTTTGCGCAAACGTAGTAAGCTAATTGGGACGAGCGCAAGATGTAGATTGATGCTGATGGAGATCTTAGTTATTGACCAAGATTGTTTGATCAACCATCTAAATTTATACCTCGATGAAATTGCTGAAATTATTCTCTTCTCTTCTCTTCTTTACATTTTATTTATCGCGTTTATTCGAAACGTTGGACAATTCGACCGAAAACTCCATCGTTTTTGGTATTTTAAATTCGATTTAAAATCCTTAGGCGATCTCGTTTCATATCGTTCTCATCGTCGAAGCTATTAAACCGAGCATCTCGTATGCATATCGTTCTATTCGTGAACGTTTCACGTTGTCCTCGTCTCGTCGTTCGAGATGCTCGTACAGGATATCGTTCCCTTCGATCTCAAACTTCTCGTAAGATCTTTGCAAAGTTTCCTATATTCGTGTGATGACACGAGAACGTGAACAGTTGAATTTTAGTGTGAATCCAACGATAATTTTGAAAGTTTGAGGATTACTTCGTGATAGGTTCGATTGATGGCATCTTTACTCGGGTTATAAAGGGATGATAAATCCCCTCCATGTATTCTTGGATCCATTTCGAGACGAAGGATGAATGCTATTCTAGAATATCAAAAAATGTGAAAGTAGACAAAATGGTAATTCTAATATATATTTAAAAATATATATATATATAAAATAGATGTAAATGAAAACGAATTATTTTATACATTTTAATAGAATTTCTTCTCTTCTTCTTACAACTTTCTTCTTGCTAAGAAACCACTTTGAAAAAAAGAAAACTTATCACCACCTTCCTGTTTCCTTAATCCCTGCCAAGCTTTCTAACGAAAAGTATACAAATTCTTTCCTCTTCCATTCTCCTCCACCAATAGCCCCCCTTAACCTCATTTACATTTTATCCAAAAGAAAAAGGAATCCTGCTCTCTTTCTCTCCGCCTATTAAAAAATCCTTCTCCAAATAAAATCTTCGCTTAGAGATCATCGAGATCAAACGTGCAAATTGAAAGAAAAAAATCTTTTTTTCTTCTAGAATCCAATACGATCGATCGCAAAAAGTAACAAGATGGATATCATCGATTCCTCGTTGAAAAAGGAAAAACTCTATTTTCTTCTCCGCGTAAAATTTCACTGGATGCTCGAAATATAGATGATCGAAGGTAAACGTGCAAATTAAAAGAAGAAGAAGAAGAAGAAGAAGAAAAGATCGGGCGGAAATGGGAAGATGGGTTATCGAGAGAAGTGTTAATTAATCGAGGCGGAGCACGAATCGATAATGGTGTGGCAGAGTGTTCTTCCCTCGAGTTCCAACACTTTGAAATTAACGTTCGGCCCATTATAATTCATGGGCCAACCCTCGCCAACAAGAATCGGTCGTAAAGTAAGAAGTTCCGATATTTAGGGGTGGCGCGTGATTGAAATAATCGGGGTGATCTCACGGTGCGCTTATAGAAAATAGACGAGGGAGTTCGAATGCTCGATATTCGAGAAGATTTTTGGGATAGCTCGACGGAGAAAGTTGCGGGAAGTTTTGAATATTCTATACACCCTCGAAGAGAATTCGAAGCAGTTTAATGCATATAATCCATAAAGTGAGTAATGGTAATGGAACGCTGCTTCGAGTTAAATACGATACGTTAATTTAATAATTAATTTGTACAATTGGATTTTTATGAATGTTGGCGAAATAACGAAGACTTTGATAAAAATGATTGCATAGATTTCAATATTTTAAATTATTTTAACCTTCCAACGAGAAAAAGGTATTTTCTTACTAAATGCTTTTCGACAGAATATTTTCTTTCTTGGAATTGATTAAAAATTTATTGTTCATCATTATTATCCCCTCAAAATATTTAGAAATTTATTAATTCTCATACTCTTTGGAATGCATATTGTGCTACATACATATTCAACGAACTTTTAATATTTTCTTAAAACGTAACTTTCTACCAACTAACGCTTCTTTCTCATTTTCGCTTGCAGATTATATCCCTTCCGGGGATAGAGAATACAATTAAAGAGAAAGAGAAAATATGAAACGGTATGTTATATATCGTCAGATCTGATTCGATCGAAGATATTTCACGGATGAATTTATTAACCTTTCGTGGCACGGTATCAACTTTTCATCGAGAAGAAGTAGAGAGGCGAACGAATGGTGGATACACAGAGGGAGGGGGGGGAATATCGCGTTCTGGCTCCCAGTTGTCTCGTGCAAACATCGGCCATGGCCGAAAATTATAGCGATAGTTGGACGGCGTTAGTCGAGAGTGAGCGGATACAAAATTGTAAAAGGCAAATATTTGGATTCGACGAGGCGGAGGATATTTACATTGGACACGTATTGCATCGTATTTCCCCCCGGCATCCCTTGCATCGCCGGGATTAATCCGAATACCCTTCCCTTTGCAACATTTCCGCGTCAAGTCACCGATGCTTTAGAGGTTTTCGATATTCTTTCGACTTGCCGTCTTTACGAGCCCGTCAAATCCCCGTGAAAACCAAGGCTTTTTCTTTCTTCCATTTTTTATCAAGATTTACTTTTATTTCTTTCTGCCTTCTTTTCTTTTTCTTTTACGTAAGATTATAATTATAGATATTTTTTTTCTCGTTTCAAATTAGAAAATATCAATATGCTCTTCGAGAATTCATTTTTCACTAGATTTAAAAATCTCAAGATTTACTTTTATTTCTTCCTATTCTTTTTTTTTTTTTTTTTTTTGTTTTAAGATTATAATAGCGTTGGATATTTATAATTATGGATATTTATTCATTTTTTTTTCATTTCAAAATATTGTTAGAAAATATCAATATGGGAATTCATTTTTCACTAGATTTAAAAATCTGATAATGATTATGCAAAGGGATCAGATTTCATTCAATGTGTGATTTAAGATTAAAGATTAGAAGTTGAGAGGATTGTTTTATTCGAGATTTTATTCGATTTAAAATTTACGTTCCTGCAATAAGTTAACGCAAAATTGCGTTGTTATATTGAAATTGGACAATTGTTTATCGTTTGCAATCCTGTCGAGTGGTTTATTATTAAAATGGATATCGAATATATAGGAGGGTAACAACAAGGGGGAGATTGCAATTAATGGTAAGCTAAATAATAGCGACAATAGATACTCGTAAGTTAAAATCAATATAATGTTGCGGATGAATAATAGATATTGCAGCGATAAAATTTACTCTTCGAAAAGTATAACAGTATCTAAATAATATAAATATGATACAACAGAAAAAAAACTACAACGTGATATTAACAGTAACAATATATATCAAAACACAATTCTACGTTAAAAGAACCTATTGTTCAACCAACAATAATTAGATTGCAAATTCTGCTTTTGTACAAAATTTAAAGGTACAAAAATTTTTTCGAATAATCACACGACGAATGATAAAAAAAAGATGCAAAATATTTAAAATATATTAGAATCGAATCTCCGATTCTTTCAATCGTGTTCGCAAAAATTATATTTCGTCGTCGCATATCAACTGTTTGAATATAATTTTTCAAAAGATATAAAAAACAAGAGCGTCTGCTTTTCGCAAGATGATTAAATGTAGGAAGGAGCCCCGCTTTAAAACTAATTATTCGTTTTAGCGCGAGGCAAACTATCTCATCTATAAAATATTCCTCTCGTAAAAGGCGCGATAAATTGACGTTCCATTCAGTGTAGGTAGATTACAGCTTTACCCATGTTCCACCGCTGCCATAATTCGTCGCCGCTGTCGTTTCACTTTCCTTGAATATTTCCTTTTTATTATCGCGTAAATCTCTTTGAGCCATCCTGGATAACGACTTTCCCGTGTTGATGTAATAACTTCGATATATCCGGCCTCTCCACCGCCGACTTTAATGCGTTCCTTCTTCAAAGATATTATAACCGATATGGCACTCGAGACGATCGACAAGAACGCGTTTCCCATTTTCCCTGTAATTTATCGTTATACCCCCGTTTCGATGAACTTATTCTGGAATTAGAGGCAACATTTAAGTAAAGATGTTTGCACACTAAGAAATTTTACACATTTGGGAATACATTTAGTAGAAATGGTCAGATAATGGTCAGGCGCGCCTATTAATAGATACTTAAATGTATTCGAATCTTATTTATTGTAATTAACGCATGCAATATACATGATATAACTCGAAAAATAGAAGAGGAGAATATGAATTATAAGTGCTATTAACAACAATTGTTGGAACGAGGCACAAAATCGATCGATTCGATTAGTTCGTTCAGTAGTTAAAGTAGATATGTTGGTCAGACGTAACTTCGACATTGAATTTCTCCTCTTCGCGTTGTGTATTTCAAAGTTGTTAATTTTTACAAAATAAATAATTGTCCAAGGTAGTTAAGGTAAAGGCAACTTGTTTGTTAAAATTATTCGACATTGTGAATATATTCGATGAATGGTTGCAGGTCTGTTTCATCGCGTCGTGTTATCGAGTGGGTCAGCATTAAGCCCGTGGGCGTCTGTTCACGATCCGAACGAGCTACGGTTGAAAGTAGGGGAGCAAATAGGATGTTCCACCGAGAACGACGAAGATATCGCCGATTGTCTACGCGGCGTTCCTCTCCGTGAGCTGATGGCTGTTGAACTGCCGGAAATCCGGTAAGATAGTAACTCTTTACGATCTTGATTCGAGGCTGATCCACGAACAAAGCCCCACCGTAAATTTCATGTAAAACTTCCTCCTCCTGGATTACCGGAATGAAGAAGCCACGAGTGGCCGATATTATTGCTTTCTGCACGAAAGAAATCCAATAAAATTCTGCGTGATCTTAAACCCCTTAAAAATATCTACTTTACGTTGTATTACACATTTTTATTACATTTAATTTAGATTATTCAAGGAATATAGAGTTAAATAGAGTAACATAACATTTGTTATATGAAATTAGTGGCCATTGTCAATTGGAACGTTTCTTGGAATTTTATTATTTTTAACTTTCATTTTAACTTTCTTTATTAATCCTTGTATTAATATGTCAGATAGACTCTTTTACTTATTGCATAAAATTAAGAATTCGTTATTTAAAAAAAAAAATTGTCATCGTTATCCATGTCGTCGTTATTTGCCACTTATTTCTCTCCACTTATATTCCAAGCATTCATAGAATTTTATTAACAAAAAATGAGTGGAAAATTTTTGGATTAAATTTGTTTATATATATATATAACGTCCATTCGTTATTCCACAGAAATCGTGATCACCAAAGAATGATACACTCACGTGAAAATCATTAAAATCAAAGCACTCTCTTAATAAAATTGATCCAGCTATATAATATCTCTTCATCCCCCAAACCAACGGCTATCGATCCCCGTATAACACGCCAAAATACACCATTTATCCTGATCGAAACGCGGGTGAAAACGTTAATCGGCAAGCACGGTTAATTCTCGATGCACGCGTCGCCATTGTTGGCTTCCGGTTTGCTTCCGTGTCGCCTTATTGATCGACGGCTACGATTTAATTTACAGCGGTGCCGATGAATCGCGGCTAATTCGTCGCCTCGCGCTTTTCAGATTCGTGCCACGGATCGGGCCAGGCTTGCCAGTGGACCAAAACAATCCCGATCCGGGGTTAGACATGGAAAGGGCCAGCGACACGTTCATCAAAGTACCTCTGATCCTCGGTGTATCGAGCACGGAGTCGAATCTCGACTTCAACGAGAACGACATTCAATACGGTTTCGAGGAGGATCATCGAAATCGAATCTTGAGAACGTTCATCAGGAACGCTTACGTTTACCACTTGAACGAGATATTCTCGGCGGTGAGGAACGAGTACACGGACTGGGACAAGCCTATTTTGCATCCTATTATTATAAGGGACTCGACTATGGAGGCATTGAGCGATGGCCACACTGTTGCTCCTCTCATGAGGATTGCTTTCTATCACGCCAGAAGGGGAGCCAAAACGTACTTCTATCACTTCAGCCATCAGACCAAGGATAGCGGGATGTTGCAGGTTTGTGAGGAACGTTTAAAACGTTTTAAACAACGACGTTGTGAATATCTTTCAAAATTTTTGAATCACGAAAATTCGTCGAGGACGTATAACCGTGAAATTATAAAAACGGTTTTTGAAGATTTTTTCTTTTTCTAAGTTAGGATGAAAATTAGGAAAATATTAAGAGGAATATTTTTAAACAGTCTTCTTTTTTCTTTTAACATTAATAAATTAAACATGTCTCGAATTAAAGATTGGTGAAACGATTGAAATTTATAATGTAAAATTAGCTTCTTTGTATCTATTTCGAGATTTTATTCAAAATCAATACAGTGAATATAAAGCAATCGTGCATGCAATCAGATAACAAGGAATATATCAAGAATTCGCAAGAGAACGCGAGTATGAAAAAGATTGTTTATCTGTATTACTCAAGATCTGCAGATTTCATTTACCTTTGCTATTTTCGTAAATAACGGAACAAACACGACAGATGTTGAAATTTAAAAGAAATTTAAAAGAAGGAATCCTCTAACGATTGAAACGCCCGAATAAATCGTGCCTCTTTGAATCACTTCCTGATGTAAACTTATTTCTCTATTTTATTTCAGGAAAGTCGTCTTTTCTTTTTTTCCTTTTTTTTTTTTTCCTTCGCGGCAACGATGTTTACGCACGATTTCTTTGATTTCTCGCGAAATTTCTTAAGTATACAGTACTCGTTCCCTTTCACATACGAAATAAATAGAGAATATAGTGATTCTGCATATAACTTTCCTCTTGCATCTAGATCTTTATCAATTAAACGAATTAATAAGAATAGTAATAGAATCGAACAGACGAAATAAGACAAAATCAAGACAGTCGAGCAAGTAGAATAAATTTATATCGCGATCGAGTGATAACGAGTTAAAACAATCCTGGTTAGACAAACAGTTGTCAGATAGTTTTAATAATAATTAAAGATAAAAATAATTTGTATACTATTTATAATTATTTAAATATCCATTGCATATATAGATTTTCTTTATCTTTGTCAACCTAAAAATAGCGCGAAGAAATTGCTAAATGGAGGATTGAGAACCTTTCTTCTTTTTCCAGCAACCTTACTTGGCTGATCAATCAGGGGTATATTCCACTTGCTCGATCGTATGTTTCTAAGGAGAATACATCAGCGTACGGTCATACAAGCAATATTACGCTTCGCTGATTAAGTAGTAAAAATCAAAAATGTACAATTGAATTGTACGAGATAAATTTAAAAAAATTATATCTACGTTAAACAGAGTGAAAAAAAGTGAAAAAAGTGCGTTGAATTTTTTAATTTACATTTTTTTCCTTATTTCGTGGAATAAATCATCCTCCATCTCTTGTGATTCCGCGAAAACGACGAATTTCCACCGAAGCCCCTGCTGAATTGTCGAAGGATGATTACCATTTGAAAAATATCACGCGCCAGATGGTTTAATAAACCGGCCCAGGCGAATGGATCGATTTAATAACGCAAACTTTCGAGATTCGACGAGGGCAAGTTTCAGCGCGGCGTCACGCTTAATTTACACCGTTGGAGATTTGCGGGATAACGCGAGAGCCCATCTCTCACCAAACTCTCGAGGCATTTGATTAGATCAGTAGCTTCATCGTGAAATCATGGTTAGGGACACGGAGCAGGGCGAAAAACTTGAAGATAACCAAGATGGAAATCGAGTAAAAAAAAAAAAGTAATTTTATTAGAATAGAATTGAATTGGAATCGAACTGTTTCCTCCAATTTTTTAAATTCCTCTCCGATTAATTTTATCCAAAACCAAACGTGGCTAATCAAATTTATACATGTTGAACGATATTGAATAATTTTAATTTATCGAACTAATGTAATGAGACAGCAACAGTATCTCTATATAATTATATCGTAAAGTTTGTTCGAAGCGAATTCAACGACACTATCTAATTTATCTCGTAGTTGCGCTATAGGCGAAATGTTGAAAGTGTCAAAAGAGGCAGGAACTTGAAGTTAACAAGTTTAGCCTGCGGGCCACGTTTAATAGCGATTTAGCGCGTTTGCTTGCCACGCGCTATGACCAACTGTGTACGCACAAAGCAAAATTTAATTAAAAGGAAGTCGAGCCGCGCACTACTGAAAGGCGGCCTCATTTAATAAGTTCCGGTGTCATAGTTAACTCTTCGTGACATAAAACGTCGTTACAATTAACGCTGCTCTCTATAAATTATCGTTAAAATATCTATGGCCAATACGAATTCAGACATAAAAGTACGAATAAAAGGTAAAAGTAAAGGATATATAAAATAAAAGGAAGATTCATATTTTTATACTTTTAAGTAAAAATTTCAATTTTTAAATTTTCCAACTTTCAAATTCGTGAAAATATTTCTTTCTACTCGAAGTGGGATTTCAATATCTCTCCCACCATCTCGTTGAAGTCTCTCGCGAACAGCATTCATCTCTGGATTTTCGAACGTTACATTACGGGCGAAATCATTTTGTTCCAGCGTCTGGGCAGTATTCGTGGCGAGGATATATCGTACATCTTCGGTCTGCCGTTGGTGGGTGGTGGAGCTTTCTTTTCACGGAATTATTCTCGCCAGGATCAAACCGTCGCCGAAGCTGTTCTCACGTTTTTCACGAATTTCGCGAAAACTGGCAATCCGAATGAGCCGCACAAAATCGAATCGGTGGATTACGGTACACCGAAGGAAAAAACGCGATATCGTGGCCTTACGTGGGAGCAATACGAGACTGGTACTCAACAATATCTCACAATTGGTAAGTTTCTTTTTCTTCGTATTTTTTTTTTTTTTATTATCTTCTTTGTATATATATATATATTTTTTGAGTATAGATATATGTTATCGATTATTATCGAATTATTTTAGCTATGAAACCAAAAATGAAGAGCCATTATCGGGGTCATAAAATGGCGGTTTGGCTAAACCTGATACCTCAACTCCACCGACCCGGCGACGATGATGTTTCTATGCGTCATCATCATTTTCGAGAGAGAGGCGATCATTTTTATGCAGGTAAGAAAAAAAAGGATTAAACTTTTATTTCAAATAATAATTTAATCTCTGTTCTATATTGATTGCATTAAATTAATAAAATTATTACATTCAATTTACACATTATAAATAATACGTAATTCAACCAATAGATTAAATTAATTAAGAAATTGTGGAATTTTTTAGGACCAGTTCGAGACGAATGGTACACACCCTTACCCCTAGTAGGAACAACTAAAGCCAGTGCCTCGTCCACAACAGCGTGCAGTACAACTACAGGCGATGACAGTATCACCGAAGATATTACCCCAATCCTGGATGATTCGGAGGACGACGCTGAATTGTTACAAAGACTAGCTTCTCGTCATTACTACAGCACTACCACAGCTCTGGCAATCACCGTGGGAGTCGGTTGCATTCTGTTAGTGCTCAATATGTTGATATTCGCTGGTATTTACTATCAGAGGGATCGAGACAAAAAAAGGGCAGCCATGGATTGTACACCAAACGGGCAAGAATCTCTACCGATGACCACCAGGTCATCCATAAAAGCTCCAGAAAGTCCCAGACCAGCCCAAGAACCACCACCATCGTATACTACCCTTGCGAGAAGTCCCTCTATCCAGGAACATCAACAAATTGTCCAGAGTCAATCGACAGAAGTTGACGAACAATTTAAAAGTGAACAGAAACCTGGTCACGGGACCAGCAATGCCATTCACAAAGATCCCATTCCTCCAAAACCACCCACAAGAACAACCAGTTCTTTAAGTACTACCACCAGTGGCACCAATACCATTAAAAAACGTGTGCAAATACAAGAAATATCCGTATAGCATTAGGGGTTGCCCTTAGAGGGCAACATGAAGAACAAAAAGGTGACTTTCGTAGATTTTGAGGCGAATGGCGAATCCAAGTTTTGAGATGTGAATTAAGAAATGTTCAATGACAAAGCTCAAGTTGACAAAGAAAATTGTTTTCTTGGATTATAGTGGAAACATCGATGAAAAATGGAAACTTTCGGTGTTTTTTTTCAACACTTGTTAATGTAAACTCTAAAGGAGAATGAATTCAAAGCGTTCATTCAATTCTATGTTAAGTATTCTCTAATTATTCTGATATGTAAACAGCGATAACTGCCATATGTTATTAAAAAGACAAAGTGCTTTAAAGGAGGGCTTGAAAGACTATTGTTCCTCGATTATGCACATAGGACTCAAAATATTTAATATTTGAGTACGTTCCTTTATAGAATGTGATATATTTCTTTCAGGAGATATTATCAAAGTCACGTGTTACACAAGGAGATTCATAATGAATTAATTCAAAAAATAATTATTTCATAAAATAATTTTCTTTAAAGAAAACATTAAACTTGATGACTATAAGAACTGTGTTGTTAATTAATGATGAGGCATTTCAAATGTTTATTATCGATATTTGTTTTTCTATAAATACGTTATTGAACAAATATATCAAATCATACACATCTCTTCTTTTTACTTGTTTTTTTATTTTATACTTATAAATTTTAAAATTTATTTTATACTTATACTGGAAATAAATTTAAAATTTATCTTAATTTATTTTAAATATAATACTAAATGATGCTATAGAAAATACTTTCTTTTTTTTATTTATCAATTTTATTTGAAAAAAAAGAACAAAATTGATAATAAAAATTCACAAGTTAACAATATAACTGTCCTTCCAATGTTCTTTGAAGTGTTTTTCTCTTAGCTAACATCCAAGATAAATTATGTGACTAACATAATTTTTAATATAATTGTTGTTAAACTCACGAAAAATTTCTATTTCCGTTTTTTGTGTACAACTTAAAAAAATCATAGTCTTTTCTATTTCAAATCGTGCATAAATTCGCACAGATAATCAATTAAGTAACGTCTATGTAACATGTATGATTCATAGGAAATATGAATATGATTAAAAATTAATTCTAAATTTTACGATTTGCGTAGTTGATATTGTAAATGTGATAATTAATATGATTTTTTTAATAATAAAATAAAATTTGTAGATAAGTCACTTTACTAATTTTATTTATTCTTGTTATTCTTACTAGAGAAAAAAATAGAAAAACTATTTCTTATTAAAATATTCTCTATTATAAATTTCGTTCTATTTTATCACATTAAATGATTTAACGAAATATTTAAAAAAATAATAAAAAAGAACGCAGTTATCTCTTCACAATCTTGATATCATTCACAATTAAAAAAAAGGAGAGAAAACTGGATAAACTTATATTTACGCATTCAATACAATATAAAAGACCAGTTCTTATATTCGCATTAAAAATTTATGCGAATGCTATGTGAAAGTTTAAGATTTAAATAGTTAAAGAAAACAGATGAAAATTATATACATTTTTAATATAGTTCAGTTTTAATAAAGAACTCCACGATACTTGCGGAAGCATTGAGTTCTTAGTGAAGTTCTTTAGTGAAAATATATGCTCAAAACATAATCGTAAAGATGGAACACGATTTCTTTTAAATTAAATTATATGTAAATCTTCGACCAAGTAATCTAAGGTGAGATTACATTCGTGTGCAAATATCATTCGTCTTTACAGAATTTTTCAAACTGAATATGTTATTGCATATTAAAAATTATTAAATTGGATTTACAAGATTTAATATAATATTACAAAGAGATTTATTTTTTGTTTAAATACTATTTTAAAAATCATATAATTAATATTCATATATTGTGATATTTTTAATATCATTTCTTACATAAAACATAAAAAAAATTTATTTCTTCGTAATCTTTTCTACAATATAATATTACATATTATTTATAATCACTGTTCTTCCATTAATTAATAAAATTAAATATTGCTAATATATTTGAATATATATTATCGATATAAATTTCATTTTAAAAGTATTATTAATCTTTAAAATCTTTCATTGTTTAATACACATAATCCAGACTGATTACCGAGACATATTAATACGTACAATACACTTACAATCATTCTAAGATTGATGTATATGCGAGGAAAAAAATTTTCCCCTCTGAAAAAGGAAAAACATCATGAGCTTTAGCAGATGAAATTTCCATCACCGTGTAAAAAGATAACACTTGTTTAATATAGTCGAATTTATTTAATCGAGTGTATGCATTTTTTGAGGCACATGAAGTAATGAAAGCGTATTGGTATGAATAAGGACATAACATTGTACTTTAGATAGCAATCATACTATGCACGGTGTTGCGTAACTGTACTATCGATTTCGATCATTTTCAATACATAATTTCCCAATAAAAAAATAAAAAGAAAGAATATTCGTCAAATTTTGGAAATGGTACGAATCGTCAGCACATTATGACTATTCCGTTAACGGTTGTGTGAACGGGTTATCGAGCACATAACAGTGAAATTTAAGTAGCAAATTAGTAATAAAAAAACACTTTGTAAATTTCACTGTAAAACAATAAAATGCTGATTTCTAAATACATTTTCATTTCCAATGGAATTATATAATTAGTTTTATAATTAATCTTATTCTATAATCGAACGTATTAAGCTATGCATGGGACTATGAAATAATGTACAATTTACAAATATAAACAGCGTTGTACTTTTATCCTTATATAAATAATACACACTGTTATTAAGCATAACAAAAAAATATGCGCTTAAGGTAAGTAGCTTCCTATTTTGAATATCTTTTCATATTTTACACATAAGTGTCCGTATAATAAAAATATGATTAATATACATGTGTATATAACATTTTTAGTTTCTTCAAATTAAATATCATTTTTTAATTACTCGATAGCAGCCTTTTTATTAGGAACCAGGTCATTGTTGTCACTGTTACGCCTTTTTCTTTGACCTCGCGTATTACGTCCTACAAATATATAATTTGTATCAATTTAACATATATATAATTTTACTTTAAAACTTAAAAAATATAATTAAAAACATTCAGTTATTTTTGAAGTTTAACTCATCGAGATCCAAAGCATATTAGCATGATCTCTCGGTATTAGCATGGCAAAGCATCATTATAAAGATAATACTATTTTAATTTTAGAATTATTTTAGCATTATCTTATTATACTGACCTTTCTTGCCTTTCTTTCCTTTATTATATTTTTGCCTTGTATTTACTATTTGTGTTTTTGCTTTTGTGAGATATTTCTCTTCTTCTTCTCCTTCAAGAACGCGACAAGTAACTGTTTTATCTTGAATCAATATCTTATAAAAACAAAACAAAAAAAATTGATGAAACAAATCGATATTAATCGATATTAAACTATAAAGAATAACAAAAACTCTCACTTGATTATCCGTCATTTTATCAATTATAGTCTTTGCAGTATTTTCTTCCTGCAAACGAACCCATCCTTCCTTATCGCCTATTTTAAAATCAACAAATGCAATATTTGCATCTAGTTCCCCTAAACGTTCTTTAATATCCTCTCTTGTACATTTCTCAGGTACATCAACAAAATGAATCACACAACCTTTTGGTAATGAAATATCCTTTTCATTTTCATCCTCTTCACCGCTTTCATCATCTTCCTTATCTTTCATCTGAAAATGAATTATTTTCATATTATATTCAGTTTTCTCATCTCTCGGAATAAATATAATATAAGAAATAAAATTTTCTGTACTAACAGATTCACTTTTCTTTGCTTTCATTTCTGATCGTTTTTGTCTTCTATCTTCCGTTTCTTTAGCTTTTTCTGCACTATAGTCAGCTCTAAAATATTAATATTTCAAATTAAATGTGTAATTTCATAGAAACTTTTATAAGAATCAAATAGGTTGATTAACTTACGACCACTTTCTAATTAATTCAGTATCTCCATATTTTATAGATTCTCTAGCCATAAAAGCTTTTGCATCTTCTAGAGTTTTGAATTGTACAAAAATGGAACCCTTAAATTGTAACTTCTTTCCTTTATCTTGATATTTTCTCATCTATCAAATAAAAAAAAATATTTGAAAATCTAAATACTTTTTTGCAAAATTTTGTCTTTATCTGAAAATGTCACTATTATTTATTACATAAAAATCAAATCATACTTACAACAATATTTTCAAATGGTTCATAAGCACTGAAAAATGTTTTAAGTTTTTCAATATTAGTATCCTGTAAAGGAAATCCTTTTACATAAGCAGTCCTAGCTTCCTGTGCTTTTCTATATTCCTCATTATATATTGGTAAAGGACATTTTGGAGAACGACGAATTTTTTTCTTGTCTTCAGATATTTCCATAAGTTTACTTAATTCTATAGCTTTTAATATAACATCAGGCTCTTGACTCATAGAAGCCAACATTTTAAAATTTAACATAACAGTCATAGGAACCCAACCATCGTCCAATTTTGTTTGTTCAATGAGAAATTTATCTCTTTGCATATTCACATCTCCAAAATAAAACTAAAAATACCAAAAATTTTATTTTAATAACAATATAGCAATTTATATTACTAAATATTATAAACTTTTTCTTTACATTCATACAAGAAATATATAGTAACATATGACTCATACATGAGTCATATATTTTATTCCTCTAATAATTAATTATTTTATTCATAAAATAATACCTCAATTTGATTTTTTATTTTTTCCAAGAGTTCACTGGATGGTTCATCAGATGTTTGTTTGATAGCATTTTCGTCAGAAACCGGCTTTTCATTCTTAACCTCGCCATCAACAGCATCACTTATTACAGTTTCAGCTTTATTCTCTTCTTGACCGTTTTCCATTTTTATTGCTTCTTATACAATACGTGTTCAATAAGATTCAAGTTTTCAATATTTATTTAAAACGTAAAAAGAAATTAGTTTGTTGCTAAGATTGCACTCCAAACAGCATGCCCACAAATGCTTTCTTGGAAACCGGAAGTAAATCTTACAAATAGAAATGATAATTGATCATATGAAATTTAAAAATAGTTATGCAACAAACAATTATAACTTAACAATTTGTTATATAGCATAAAATGAGTTTTCCCTTATATCCTTATTCAAATAATAAATTGAATATGTTTAATAAAAATATGAAATATGTGATAAATAGGAGAAATGATTATAAGCAATTAATATCAGTATTAGGAATTTTATTTAATTAAAACATATTACTTCGTGAATTATAAATTAAAAATTAGACATAAATATTAATATTATTACACTAAAATATTTGATATATTTTAAACCGGAACTAAAAATAAGGATTTTATCGAAGTTTGTGCAATTTTACCATAGACTAAGTATAAAAATAGATCTACCATCTACTATCTAATATTTTTCATTTTTTTCATAAATACTTTTTTACCTGTATACTATACAACAAATAAAAATATAGAAATATATATATATATAAATTTAATATATATGATATATAAAAATATAAAAATATATATAAAATATATATTCATAAAAAAATATTATTTGCTAAATATTATCTATTTTAGCATTTAACTAGTAGTGTCATCTCTTTAAAAAGTAGTCAAAGTAATCATAGTCAAATAATGAAAATTAACATATTATAGATTATATTTCTAAAAATAAACTTATATTTTTTTCAAATTTTTGAATTTAATATTCTTTAAAATAATATGATTAAAATAATATTAATAATATGATTTTGTTAAATATTTAAATATCATTTATAAATAAAATTATTATAAATTAATGAATTCATATGATAACATATATATAATCACGCGCTAAAAAGCAAGTATACATAACAAACGCAAATAGTGAAAAAAGAATGAAAATAGATAAAAAATTGTGGCATTAATGCATATTTTTAGATCATTGCAAATGAAACTATATAAGGGAATAAACAAGGAAAGAAAATTGAGAAAGAAAAATAGAAATAAAATAAAAATTAATCATTAGCGCCATCTCTTGAATATTAAAGTTTTTAATTTGAAATTAGATTAAGATAAAAAAAAAAGCTAGATTTAAAATAAAAATTAGAAGTTAGTGCCATCTCTTAAATATTAAATATCTTTCTAAAATTAGTCGTAAGATGGTACTGACAATTAATTCTTATACATGCGAAATTTATGAATTTTAAAGCAAAAATTTTTATTCAAATTTTGACTTCGTATTAATAAAATATAATTGGACAGAAAATAGTACGTGATTTTTTTTTTTAAGAATTATAAATTTTTGTTCAAATTTCGACTTTACATTAGAAAGATATAATTGAATAAAAGAGAGCATGTAAAGTTCCAAAAAGAAAAATTTTTATGAAATTTTATATATTTATCTTTTATATTCTTATTTATTATAATTGCTATTTTTTATTGGGTTTTATATAATTTTTTCTTAATTCTAGAGATATGTTTATAATAAAAGTTGGCATGCAAAATGTTTTTATAATATTGAACATTTTTCAATCAAATTTATTTTTAGTAAAATGCATAAAAAAATATTTTAGATAAAAATTAAATAGTTTCAAATAAGATGTTTTATGACTATTAAATGCATAAAATAGATATATAAGAAAAGATTAATTTTATTCTTTTAAGTAAAATCACATTTTTTAATATTATAATATATATCAATTTCGATATTCTCTCTAATATCTATATCTCTCTATATATCTCATAATATACTATGAAAATCGAAAAATTATTTATTATTAAATTATTTATTAATAGGAAATAATTAAATATTCCTAAAGTAATGATTTTTGTTGTAAATTTAGCATTTTTTTATAAAAAAATAATATATTACATATATAAAATTCTATAAAGTAGTAGATCTATTCTATATATTGTTTGTGATGGAAGAGTGCAGCGACGCTGGCTCTCGCTTCGAGTACTGCGCTCCCTTCCGGTTCGCTCTTTTCGGGTGACTGAGTCTTATTTAGTTTAGCTGTAATTAAATCTTTCTCCATCTTCCACCATGAAGATCTACAAAGATATTTTCACCGGTATGTGAGTTCAAAGTATCTTTAAATAACATACATTATGGATATTTTTCAAATTATTTGTTATACGGAGAAATAAATTATTATACTTGATCAAAAATGGATTTACAGTGACGTTTCTATCACGAGGATCAAAATTTCTACAGTAATAATTGCAAATTATCTTTTGGCTACGGTTTTCAATGTATAAATTTACAAATATATCATGAAATATATTTTTAAAATTATTTATTATTATAAAATTACTGAAGTATCATTTAAATATTTAATATTCTAATTTATAACCTCTCCATATGTTCGAAATGACTCATTTCAATACAAATGAAATATTTCAAGCAATTAATGTTTCACAAATATTTTAAAGAAAAATTATTATTTTGAATAAATTTTTTAGTATAATAAAGGCATTTTTTATTACTATTTTCTATAAAATTTATATAATTTTATAAAATAATATAGGCATTATATAATTTATTTTATTATATTAAATTTTATATTTTATATTTTAATTCAATTTTTATATTATAGGTGATGAGATGTTCTCAGATACTTATAAAATAAAATTGGTTGATGATGTTCTATATGAAGTATATGGCAAGGTATATATTCTTTTAATCTTATTTTAACATTCATATATTTATATTTAGCTAGTAACCTGAATTTACTGTATATTTATCAGCCTGAATTTATTTTATATTTAACTTATATTTGATTAACATTTTAAATATTCATTTATATTATTAATTTCTTTTTTATTTTTATAATTAGGTAATTACTCGTAAATCAGGTGACATAGAAATTGCTGGTTTTAACCCATCTGCTGAAGAAGCTGATGAAGGAACAGATGAATCGGTAGAATCTGGTGTTGACATAGTCATGAATCATCGACTTCAAGAAACTTTTGCATTTGGTGATAAAAAATCTTATACTTTATACTTAAAAGATTATATGAAAAAGTAAGTATTGATTTTCTATTATAATATAGATTTTGAAATAATAACATTTTAAATTTAATTTTTGTTAGATTGGTAGCAAAGTTAGAAGAACAAGCTCCTGATCAAGTAGAAGTTTTTAAAAAGAACACAAATAAAGTAATGAAAGACATATTGAGTCGTTTTAATGACTTACAATTTTTCACTGGTGAATCTATGGACATTGATGGTATTGTTGCGTTATTAGAATATCGCGAGATCGATGATGAATCTGTGCCTGTACTCATGTTATTCAAGCATGGTCTTGAAGAACAAAAGTTCTAAATAAGTTTAGGTATACAACAAATTGTGGAAAAAATATTGTAAGTTTTATATTTATTACTTCTATTTTGATAATATTAATTGCCTGTAGTGTATATGTAATTATAATATTTAAATATAGAATTAAATGTATACATGTTAATTCATGCCTTATACTTTTAATTGCTTGTATTGGGCATTGCACAAACATGTAAAAAAAAAATTGGTGATCAGATTCCCGCTGTGATACATTTTCTCGGCATAGCGTCTATTATTAGCCAGATATTAATTTATATACAAATTTATATTTATAAATGAATAGTAAGAAAAAATTAATATTTATATATTTTTGCAGATAAACTCAAATCAAGACTGTACACAATGCTGAAAAGCTTGTGAAATTTAGTTAATGGAAAACACGATTTTACTTCCAATCTTATTCTATAACGCAGTTAACTTATTTTTTTTAAACAACAATCGATGCCAGTCTCAGTGGAACTAATAATTGTAAATATATAACTGACTGAAGGGAGAATATTACAAAGCACATTATCCCTTCAATTATATTATCTGTATCTGATTTCGCTGTAGTGTTTATAACATTAATTTTTTACTTTTTTTTATTGGTCACTTATTAGAGAATTTAATTTATAATTCGAAAATGGAAGATGGGGAAAGAAGTTTGCAGCGATGAAAATATCAAAATATACATCTAATTATTGTTAACATCAAAAAATATCTGTGGGTAACAATTACATCTGAAACATACTCTGTATAATGTCCATCACGAATAAAAAGGTGTTTTCATAATTATGCTTACGAGTCGTGTTCTTATTTTGAATATTATAAATTGTTTTAAATGAATTTTATAATGATAAAAGTATATAATAAATCAAACAACTATCATTTTGCTTCATAAAAATATTATATTTAGACAAGTCAGAATAGACGATTTATCTCTTGGCGCAAGACGGTACATTATATTTTTTTTTACTAAAGAATTGTTATTAGTCATATTGTTTTACAAATACATTCATAATATGACTTCTTCGCATTTCTTTCATTAACAATTTCGCTCTCGCATTCTCTCTTATACTCTTTGTTCTCTATATTTATATAATTTGTATACCCATCATCATTATCATATTTATCATGCATATTCTTTTGTGAATATATTACTCTCGTTCGTTATAAAATAGTTTACCAATCCAATATGGAATTTTTCACATTCCAAATATATTTTTATGTGCCATTACCTGAAAAAATGTTATATTTTTACACATATGAAAGCGTATTTTAATTTTAATAATATAATGATAATTCATATGTATGTACGTATGTACACAACAACAAATGTATACATATACATACAAATAAATGAAGGATCAAAAGATGTGCGAATTAGTTATCGCTTCGAAAAATGACATTTACAGCTTAAAGATAGTAAATTGAACTTCAAAGATGTACATACATGCAACATATATTTATGTAGGTACATATTTGTGTTCATAAATATATATATATATATGTGTGTATATATATATAGACATTGCTTTAATTATCGAGCACAACCATAGTATTATTACTAAGCGCTAACATGAATTAGTATTCCAATTTAAAACAATGTATTGGAGACTGTATGAAACAATCAACATACTGATTTTATTACAATAAATCATATTAATATAAATAAAAAAAATTGTTATTCATAAATATCTTTAAGCTGTTAATAATTATTTGAATTGGAATATTATATTAGAGAGCTATACTATACATTTATAATTAATGCATTTTTCAATATTAATGAATTTTCTGTTCACTAATGAGTTCTTAAAATTACAAGTCTTACGCATAATTTATTAATTTACAATCAAATTATAAAAATCTACTCAATAAAACGATACAACAATTTGATAAGAATTTTTTTTTTTTTGTTTTAACTTGAAGGAAGAAAGATAAAACATGGAATATTGGGCCATGCTAATATTCCAAAAATTAGTTAATTGTAATGGCAGTTAAGTTAATTTGTTATTAATACATAGCATTCATTGATACATGAAATTTTATGACATTTATACACACAGAAGGATTATTTTAGTACTCTGGCTTTTAGTTTAATCAAAGGTACGGTAATTTAATAGGACACCTGCTACTATTTAAGTGGCATTTACCTTACATGCTCTAGTAAGGTAAAAACAATTATTTTATTCATTATTACTATTTATATTAAACTTATTTGTACTGGTCTATATAGAATGGGTGCGTAGAACCTTTTCAACAATATCATAAAAAACTATGACTAAATATCAATATAAAATTCTAATATTATTTTTCACTTTAGTACAAGAAAAAATATAAAAATATAAAATATAGAACATGAAAGCATATCATAAATAATTAAAAAATTATATAAAAAATAACAAATTTTATAAGTACCAAATGATAAAAAATTTTGTTCTCCATCTGTTATATATAATTCATAATTATACAAAAGGTTTACAACGCACCGCATTCGTTCATTTCAGGACACTGTTACTAAGTAAAACATTACTACATATAATTTGAGCATCGTACAATTTCTAGAATAGTTCAAAGAAATATGGCAAAAGCATTAAGTTTACATAGATATAATTGTATAATTGTATAATTTTTTATTTTCGTATATCACTTCATCATAGAAACATGCTATTATTTAATTATTCCAATACATTCCAGAATTCCATCTTGAATCTCTTACCTTTAATATGTTTTAGAATAAGACATTAAAAATTCTGCCATTATCTTTGTTACTTTACTGACCGCTAATGAGGTTCTTAATAATTATTTGTGAAAGTTTTATTTATATATATATATTCATATATTATTATATGTATATATGTATAGATATCATCATTTTAACATTTATATATTTATATGAAACTTCATTCACAGGTAGCTTCATTCACGCCCACCACTCCTTATGGTCTTTCACTGCTTATCTTTTTTCATTATTATTACTATTATTATTACTATTATTACACGTATTGAGGAATTAGATGAGGTGATCGCAAAACGCGTTTCATTCAGAGGTAATTTTGGTCGAGATTATATTTTCAATATAAATGTAAAGAAACAGAACATATCATTCTAATTTAAAAACATCAAAAAAATTGACATTATAGAAATTGTATGATAATGATAGTTTCTTATTAGCTTATGAAAAAATAGATAATATATAAATAGAAATTTTAAATTACATATAATATATAAACAGAACTTGAATTTATTTCGAAAATCGTTCGGAATTATCAAAATTGAATTGAATAAGTGTCAAAAATTTATCTTGCGTTTGAATGTATCACGTAATTATAAAAAATTATAAAAAAATTATTAAATATTAGGCATTTGAATAAAATGAACAGCAACTCCAGCAATATTAAAAAAAAATCAGGAATTTAATAATGTGTTTTTTCCCATGATGATAATGCATAACATTAAAAACTCTCATCAAATAGATAACAATAACCAACAACTAACAATCGTAAGCATTCACGCAAAAATAGAAATATGTTTAATAATATTTTAATAATATTTTATCATAATTTATATTATCGAAGTAAGTATGATCGTTCCTTATGATTTCTAGGGATACTATAGTAATTTATATAGATAATTAAAACTGAAGGATATCAGAAAAAACAGATCTTTTTTTTAAATCTTAAAATCAAATTACAATCTAAAAACAATAAATCTAAATATTTTACAAGAAATATAAATATATTTTTATTATAATATTTTTAATAATGCACTAAGATTATTTCAATAGATTATAAAATATATATTATATGCATGATTAAAATATATAAAAATTTAGAATCTTTATTGCCACGAATTTAAAATCAATGAATATTTTATTAAAAATATAATAATCACAACTTAAATTTTTTGCTATCGTTTAAAAATAATACAACTCAATAAATTTTTCAAAATTTAAAAAAATAAAATATAAAGTAGATATATATATTTTTTTTAAATTCTATTATTTTCTTACATCCTTCAGCTAAAATCATCACGAGAATTCTGAGAATTACTAACAACGATAATAAGGTTTCTATCTTAGATCTGTTCTTGATCAATTAATTCTTATATCTAAGTTTAAAGGATAAACTCTACATTGCAAGCATTGTATCTCTTGAATGTTTTTTAAGAGTTTTCACATCTTATAATACATTGAATTCAATGGAAAACTCAATTTTTGCATCAAATAGTAAATTATTAAGAATAGTATTAACTTACACATACTATTCACTATTACACATAATAAAAAATTGCTATTAAACACAAAAAAAGAACAAAAAAATAATAATACATGATTTATAGTATATAGATTTTCAATTTACTATATACCAAAAGTAAAAATTGCTCTTAATAAGAAATTTTCTTTCATATCATCAGTTTATCTTTTAACAATGTGAATATGTTTGCGTATGATAAATGATGTCTGGAGTATATCCATCATTTTCATTAATTTTTCATTTTATAATATTATGTGTTACAATTTCAATATTTTTTGTTACAGACAAGCTGCATACAAATAAGTATATAAATATACACTTGTATGCATTTGTATATATGTATATATATACAATATATTTATATGTATATATACATATATAAAAAGAACTATTATAATATATTTAATTGATAATGAAATTAGTAAATTTTACTATTATTTTTTTTTCTCTATATTCTAAAATACAAAACAATAAATTATCGTATAATGCACACACGTGTAAAACGTTTTCGTTTTATGTAAGTATGTATAATAATAATATATCTAAAGATGCTCTTTATGGCTCATCCAAGTGTACGATCCGAATCGAGGCAGCGTTGGAATGTAAAAAAAGCTTGTCACGCTTATTATAGATTGAACCAACACCGAGGATTGTAATTCACATAAAATGAAGGAGATCGAAGAGTTGTATCGTCCTATATATTGTATATATTTTGAAAGACTAGTAAAACAAAGAAAAATTAATACACGAGTCGAAAAAGTAAAGAGTGAACAAAGAAAAGGGAAAGCAGATAAGAAATCAGTATCTTAGGAACTTCCACATGGTTTTAGGACGTGCATAGTTCAACGTGAACACAATTGAAATCCAATGTGAATCGAGGATCGGCAATATCCGATAAGAAATTGTCACGCGTGAGAATTTTGCTCGTACAATGTAATGATACATAGACAACGTGTATCATAGACTAAAGAATGCAAAGAGAAAGAGAGATCATTCCGAGGTATAACAGCGAGTTTGAAAATTCGTCAGATCAATTCTCAAAGATGTTATAAATCCCGTTGATTCGTTCTCAACGATTAGCATTCATTGTTCGACTTCCGACATGCTCTCGATACGAATCGAAGAAAAGGACGTTGATTATAATAATGCGCTAATGAACAGAAATATAAATAAAACAGTGAAAAAGAGAAACGTAAGTAAATTCTGTCTCACTCGATATGTGAGAATATCTATTTTTATTTCGTTTTTTTTTTTTTTCTTTTTCACTGTGAGAGACATATATCGAAGTTATCAACGGGAATCTCCTTTTTTACATACATACATATATATATATATATATATCTCTTCAATGATGTTCTTTACTTTTTTGATATATTATATATATATATATGATATTTATATTTGTTTTTCTGTCGTATCTTTTATAAATCGGTGTGCCCCAAGACGCGGCACACCTTCTGTTCCTAAGGATCTGATCGTGATTCTAACATCTCCACGAGAAAATCGTCGATCGGTACGTCACCGATCATTTTGAAGAAGAACAGGTACTCGAGGCACTTTAATCCAATCGAGCGGATAGCGGGCAGGCGTAGAAGCAATTTCGCGAATCTTCCTGCATCGTCGGGCCAAGCCACGCGACAATAACCCTCCAGGGCGCCGTAAATCTTCTCACGTAGCAGGGTCACTTCCTGGATGGATTTCAGCCCTCGGACCTCGGGATTGAAGAGTATTATAGATCTGTACGTGATTAATTGATAAGAAATTGTAAATTTAAAGAAGACAACGAAAGCTTATTCGATACAGAACAAAAGGTTCTATCCATCGTTCCATGAATAATTTTCAATATAATTTTAACCTAACCTAAAAGCATCAACATAATAACATTATTACAGACCTGAGACATCCAAGCTCTGTCCTGTCCATCTTCATTTCACGCATTTTCGAGACAAGCTCCGAGAGGACACGGTCGAATATCGTGCCCACGCCGGCCTGCTGCGCCGAGTTCCGATGCACGGTGATCCCCGTTGCCAGCACGATACCGTCCTTCACGTCGATGGAACGGTGGGAAAAGGAGGCTATCAGCAACTCGTTCCAACCGGCCCTGAGCAGAAGTACCTGATCCTCCAGTGGCAACGACGTAAAATGCGGGATGTGTTTCGCCCATGCTACCAGCTGGAACAGCTGTTTGTTCGTGGCGTTGCAAATGTGCGACACTGCATTCTGTGCATTGCAAGAGATGCCGAATTAATCGGAGCGTTTTCGTGGAATAGCTACGCGCGACCATTCCACGAAAATATCAGTTCACGACGTCGTTGTTCGTACGGTGGCGGGAAAAAAATTGGGGAGAAGGAAAGAGGGCGCTCCATTTCCGGCCCGCGTTCGAACCAACCGCGCAAAATGGCGAAAAATTTCGTGTCTTGCTTCTTTCGTTGTGAGTTATTAGTAGTCGAGAGTTAATAATCGCGCGCGTATCGAAAATATTTATTTAAAATATAGAATTGCATATACGTGGTTCGTCAATACGTGACCAATTAGAGGTCTCTTGCAAAAGTGAAATATTAACAATTTTGAAAGTTACAAGTTACACTAACAACAAATTTTGTCGCAGGGAGACAGGAGAATGGTAAATTTTTATTCAAATCTTGTTTCTTTGTGCTACTAATGGAATTAGTACGCACGAATTATCTACAATCCAGTTATTAGACGATCTTCAATTATTTTAAAGTGTACACGACTCGATCAATTTTTTTTAATTCGCATTACGCGACGAAACGATCATATCAGATAGATATTAAAGAAGATCTCAAACGAGATTAATTTAATCATCAATCTAGGCTCAATGACAAATAAATTGATTTCGTACCGACACAGCTGTCCATTATCTAAAGCACTCCAATATCGCGAACTTCTTCGTATCATATTCGTTCGTCAAATAAATTAATAAATAAAAATAAAAGTATAATTTTAAGTAATTCTGATACTTCGATATCGTATTTGTGTTGAATTATATTTATGCTTCGAATCAGAAACTTTAAAAAAAAAAGCCATAATAAATAACGCTTTAATATTTATATTAAAAAAAAAAAAAATGAAAAGCAGATCGAATCGTGTATACAGAATGATTGAAACAAACAACGTCGTGAACTGTTCCAATTCTACTATCCGTTTTATCTCTTCGTCACATTCGTTCGATTAATATTTACCTCGTAATTTCCCTGTTGCTCCATCTTGCACTCGACTCTCTTCTCGGCTTCCAGGATACGCTCGATCGGCATGTCCGAGTGCAGGCTGCTAGTGCTCTCCACCTCGCTCTGATCCCTTTCCTTGGTACGTTGACGTTCCTCTTGGACCGCCTCTCTCTTCATTCCCATCGCGAGGCATTTCTGGTATCTGCAATACTGACATCGATTTCTCTGCCGTTTGTCAATGATGCAGGATTTCTCCTCGCGACACGCGTACGACAGATCCTTGCGCACGGTCCTCTTAAAGAATCCTTTGCAACCCTCGCAGCTGCAAAGGAAATCATTTTCTCGTCAGGAAAGTTGAAAGTGAAATTATTAAAATTGCTTCGAAGTTTATAATCATAATTTTTACTTTTTAATTTTCCAAGATTACCTGCTAAATCTTTAATCTTGATTTTGTTTATAATCAAAGAGTTTCTTACGATGGAATATTTGGAAAAAGCTTTTGATAAGCTCTCTTCTTAGCTGCATCTCGAAAAATTTTGATCCAATTTTAAATTTAAACTTTTCCAAATACTATACGTACAAGAGACGATTCTTTTTCATCGTGTTGAAGGTTATAAACAATTTAACTTTTTCTTTAACTTAATTTATACGTGAGAAAAATTTATCTTTTCAATAGCAACGGTATAAAATACATTCTTAGCGAAATTTCAGAAAAAGGATTCACGATTTCAACGATGAATCACCCAAGATCCAGACAACACCGACTCGTATTTCGTAAAAAGAGTTGGAATACGTTGTCGTGTTTTATCCGACTCTTTCGCTTGATTCCACTTCGGCTAATCCAGGGATTGAATAAAATACCTAGGGGTTTACGGTTCCTCTCGTGTAATCCCTCGTTCTCTCTCTCTCTCTCTCTCTCTCTCTCTCTCTGTTCAAGAACAATGTATCCAGCAGACAATCGAAAGCGTTGCACGCACGCACGAATAATTCAATCGGGCCAAAGTAATGGTGCAGATTGTTTAGACTTTTGGAAATTTGCGCGATCGTTACGATCCAATAATTTTGACTCGATATTTTAATCAGACCATATGTTTTTGCGAAGGAAGGCGAATGTTTATGGATTGTTTTGCAATGAGATTCTAAGAAATGTAAAAAACGGGGTCATCCGCGGGGGAAATTTATTATTACAAGTGATATAATATTTCAAGATATATTTTATTGTAAGAATAAAAAATAAATTCTCCCTATTACGCGAAACGTAATAAATTTTAATAATTCAAATTTCGTTTGCCACGAATTATCTATAAATTATATACATATATGTATATATATTCCAAAGGAACGTATCTATTTTCGATAAAGTCAAAAGAGGTGATCCGTTTTAATCGCGTAGTTATCAATACCAAAAAAAAAAAAAAAAAAGCTGACATTCTACAAACTAATCGATATAACGTTTCCAATTTAATTCATCTCACGAATTAAAAAAAAAAAAAAAAAATTGTATTTACTTGTCGAATAAAAACAACGAGCAATCCGTTTTAATCGTGCGGTTATCAATTCCAAAAAGAAAAAAAGAAATTTACACGTACGTTCAGTGCGAACTAATCAATCACACCATTTTTAATCCAGTTCGGTTCAGTCGTTGGGTATGCGCGGTATATCTGTCTTCCCCCGATGCTAACGAGGGCGATGAATATCGAATAAAATGGCGGAACGCATCTAAATTTCGCAAACAAGCTCTTTCCACCGTTCCGTTGTCGTTAAAGCTCCCCCACCCCTCCCTCCTCTCCCTCCACGATGATAGTCGTATTTGAGGATCGTTTTAAATTGGAACTGGTCCAAAAACACATTCGGCGACACATTCTCGGCGAACAGAAATTTATTTTTGTTTCCAGCCGTGCACAAAACATCGGCCGATATTCTCGATTGAAACCAACCTTTTTTTCTCTCGCAATTCTTGTTTCCACTTTTAATAACTTTCGCGAAATCCCCCTCGTCAGTCTTCTCGTCAGTCTTCGTTTGAAAGCATCGCGCGCCAATTACAACGAATTATTGCGCGAGCATTCGTGCGTTGCGAGAAAAACATTTGGTCGGGAAGATGGCGCGGTTGTTCCTTCCTTCGATTGAAATTTTTGCTCGTTGGTGATTTATTTTAAGCGACAAGGTTGTCGGAGACTTGCTTCCTTTTTTTTTTTTTCTTTTTTTAAGACGAAGAGGTTGTTCTTTCGTACGAAAAATTGTAGAAGATATTTCTTCAACTTTGCTCTTACCAACTTGCTGAAAGAGCGAAAGGGTGAAATTTGGGGGAAAATAGCGGTGAGACAAAGTTGGAAAGAATAACTCTCTTATACTGTTCGTAGTGTAGCGTAAGATGAGAAACGTCTGATAAACCAAATACTCGATACTGTTCCCGAACTGCGGGAAAGAGAAACGATACGATGAAGTAATCCCATGGATCTCGACGAACGTCAAAACGCTCGCGTTCTTCTCGAGAAGTTGGCGCTTAACGATACGCGAGTTTACTCGAGATTTATGCGTGTTTTCAACTACGAAATCCGCTAGAAGCGTCACGAGACGATGGATGGAGTTACACGACTCCCTGTTTTCCGTCCATCCGTTTCCGCTTTCGTGACAATGCTCTTTGCGTGTATTAGAGACGAATTTGGACGAGGCGTGCATCCAAATTGCCACCAAAATACATTAAATTCATTCGAGAAGTTTGGAGAAAATTTTTTTATCCTTAATCTTTCGTCCATCTTGAAAATTCGAGGCGAGCCTTCTTCTCGATTTCGATCATCGAGTATATTATAATCGTTTCGAAATTCTTTTGTTCCACTTCTCGCGAAGAAATGAAATTATAAATAGGGAAGTAAGGAGCAACACGTGGCGAAGATTCTGGACCACCGTGAAAGTCGTTTGATCTCGTCGAGTTTATGCCAAAGACAAATAAGTCTGACGCGGGACACGCGCTGAGAAACCCGTTCCAAAGTTCCGCCATCGGAAACGCCTTCGACATCTTCGTCTGCAATAACATTTTCATAATGAACAGCGACACGCGGCTTCCTTTCATCATCCATTTGATACTCGATGTTTAAAGCAATCTTGCGTAATCTCGTTGAGGGGCTGCTCAATTTCAAGTTGTGAAAATAAAAACAGACAAATTATGGACAATTCGAAATTGGGCAGGATTATGATAATGTTTTTTGATAAATTAAATATTCAAATTGTCTGTGACTAGATCGACTATTTCACAAGCTGGAATTCAATTTTTTCGTGTATAATTTTTTATTGAATTGTATGCAACGTGTATATAACGTATCATTGACCCGATCATTTTGTTCGTTACAGGAATTACTTTGAAATCAATTCTAAATTGCGTCGAGAAAAATAATTGTATCTATATTATTCTAAGTAAAAAGAGTATAAAGAAAAAAGATGTATCTTTTATAATCCAAGAAATAATTGAACCTTTTGCACTCGTATGTTGCTATCCTACATTTTATTATTATAAATACATGTATTTACATTAGTATTAATTCTTGTTACATATGTATATTATCTACGTCATATATATGTGTAATATATACACATATTATATAGATTTTCACTGATTAAGGGATTGAGATGCAAAATAAAATTTACTTTGTATATTTTATTTTTCAAATTTTTCTTATTGAAACGGCAAGTTAACTTGTCATATATACATATCCCCAGAAAAGTGTTTTCATTTTGGTCGAATTTATGAAAAAAAATTCCGAGTTGATTGGTAATTTTCTTAAATATAAATACATGACACGATAAATCCATTCACATTTTAATCTCTTATTTCACGGGTAGGTAAGCATTCCCTTCTCAAAGTCTACAACAAATTTCCTGATTGTTATAAAAAAAAAAAATCCCATTTGTGTTGTTTATCACAGGAGGATAAAAGAAAAATCGAACGACACATTAATTCTCCCTGAATCGAAACGCATTACGAAATGAAAGAGGAAAGAAGCCGCGCATCTAACACGGGCCCTGATAATGACCGTGATTGCTTAATTAGCTGGCAGCGAGCGCACGAGCAAACAGAATCCTCCCTTGCTCCGTAGGAACTACGGCTGGCTAGTCGTCCTAACCAGGCGAGCAAGTCCAAGGTTGTCGAGGCTCTGATGCAACGCGAGCCATCATCATCATCGGCCTGCGGTGGTCGCGCAAAGTGGGAGGCGGATGGAGGTGGGACGCGGTGGGGCCATTCGTGCCCTGTTCACGAGAAGCGATTGGAACTGTGGCAAGAGTTTCGGACGAATCGAATTATGCTCCCGAATTTTGCAGTTTAAACGGAGTTTAAACTTTGAAATTTTGATGGATTATCAATGGGAATGGAGTGGAGCGTAACGATCATCCCCTATTGCCCTTTAAATTGCCGAAACTTGGGAAATTTATGGAGTTGGAAAATTATGAAATAGAAATATACGCAACGTAAGTATAAAGAGGGATTTGCAGGTTTGATGAATTATCAAAATGCGAATAGATATGTGCGTTTAGATATCTCTGACGATAAACTCTAAAGAATTGAATAAGGAAAAACTTGAAAGTTTTGCGACGCGAATGCAACGAACTCGACGTGACACAGTGTTGCAAATTACTTCGAAAAATTAGAAACGGTTAAAATAGAAGAACGAGTTATTTGGAATCGTGAGAAGAGGAAGAGATAAAAATGGCGGAAGTGAAGGAAAGTAAAAGACGAGTAGCGAGCAACTCAAGAGAGATTATCTTCCGAGATTGTTTTATCATGCGTCCACGACACATTAAATGATGATCTCAAGTTTTTCGAGCTGCTCACGTGTAACGCGCGACACTTAATCGGTCGATGACGTCTATTACATGGAAACATGGATTGGTTCTTAATCGATTAAGACTAAGATAGCAACTAATATGAGGCAGAAATGATTGATGTACTCGATGTTGGCAATCATTTTGCCATTTTTTTTTTTTATACATACAAATTTGTTGAATCGAATTAAACGTAAGAAAGAGAAAAAATTCATCGATCGGAGTTTTCTTCGAACATCAACAAGCTTTTCTAACGTGAAAATCCTTAAATGTTCGCAGACATTTAATATTTTCTTAGTTAGTAGTAATATTTCTTCGTGGGAGACCGTTTTTGCATCTGGAAATTTGACGAAGAAAAAAATATTTTTCGTAATAATTGAATATTTTCATCGCTAATATTCCCCATCAATTATGCCTATGTATTAATAACATTATCACGTTGATCAGTTTAAACTAACTGGATTAAGATATAATTAAAAATACTCGCACAAATAATTATTCTTTATTATTACAAGTATACTCGATAAATATTCCCATCTTTCGCAGGTGTCTTGAAACGAAAGTTCAATCGTATTACCAGAGAGCTACAAACTTACTCAATTAAAACTTTTATCGAATTTCTAATTTCGTGTGAATCCTATAAGTCTTAATGAGAACAGATGAAATCGAAGTAAGAGGGAGACTTATCCAAGAATTACTCGAAGATACGTTTCACAACTTATTTATTCGATATACATGTTGGAATTATCGAAATTGAAAAACTTACGTTAATCATAAAATCATTAAGTGGTAGTAGAAGAAAGAAAAAAAAATTATTCAAAGTCATGTTAAATATGGTAATCAAGTTTTTTTAACGTATTCTTTAGCTATTTAAACTCGCAAAGTCACGATGAAGATATTTTTTTACGATAAATAGGTTCTCAGAAACTCTATTTTTATTCTACGTTATTACTGAAACGAGGAGAATTTATTAGATTCTTTTTTTTTTTAGTAGTAATATTTCTTCGTGGGAGACCGTTTTTGCATCTGGAAATTTGACGAAGAAAAAAATATTTTTCGTAATAATTGAATATTTTCATCGCTAATATTCCCCATCAATTATGCCTATGTATTAATAACATTATCACGTTGATCAGTTTAAACTAACTGGATTAAGATATAATTAAAAATACTCGCACAAATAATTATTCTTTATTATTACAAGTATACTCGATAAATATTCCCATCTTTCGCAGGTGTCTTGAAACGAAAGTTCAATCGTATTACCAGAGAGCTACAAACTTACTCAATTAAAACTTTTATCGAATTTCTAATTTCGTGTGAATCCTATAAGTCTTAATGAGAACAGATGAAATCGAAGTAAGAGGGAGACTTATCCAAGAATTACTCGAAGATACGTTTCACAACTTATTTATTCGATATACATGTTGGAATTATCGAAATTGAAAAACTTACGTTAATCATAAAATCATTAAGTGGTAGTAGAAGAAAGAAAAAAAAATTATTCAAAGTCATGTTAAATATGGTAATCAAGTTTTTTTAACGTATTCTTTAGCTATTTAAACTCGCAAAGTCACGATGAAGATATTTTTTTACGATAAATAGGTTCTCAGAAACTCTATTTTTATTCTACGTTATTACTGAAACGAGGAGAATTTATTAGATTCTTTTTTTTTTTTTTTTTTTCTTATGTTAAGAGCAGATATTAAGAATGAAATTTGCTCGTTCGAAAAAAAAAAAGAAAAATATGTATTAAAATATACATTAAATGTATTATTATACGATTCGTTTGTCATAATTTTGTATGTCGTAATTCTTTGTTCGAACAAGTTTTTTTTTTTTTTTTTTTTTTACTAAAAGAACGAATCGCGAGTAATGTAAAAATTAGCCAGTCTGCGTCGAGTCATAGAGAGAGAGTTGATTGAAAAACACGTCGTTCTTAAGATATTTTTGCATGTAGATGTTACATAATTTTATAAGCGATAAATTATTCTCAAGTCACTCGGTATCGATCTGTTTAATGTGGGGCGTGGACTATTCCACTTTTTATTTTAAACTTCCAATATATGTATCCATCTTCCATTTTCACCTCCTGGCTTATAATTCTTTTAGCAGCTTTTTACTTGTCACTTATATTCTACTTTGACATTTGATCGGACGAAAAGGTTGAAATATTGTGAATAATTTTTTTTTATTCTTAGATATTCCAACTGAAGTTTAAATATTTAAATTTATTTGATCATTTATACACTGTTTAATGTAAATTTTAAGTTATTCCAGTATTTTAAACACACAGTTATATATTCTAAGTATCTTAAGGATTTTTAGTGTCTGAAAAATCATAAGAATTTTAGATTTTAAAGTATCTAATGTAGAACATAGTTAAAAATTGATAACTTCAAACTCTATTAAAAAATATTCTGCTCGTGTATTTTAAATATAATAATTTAACAATTTAAATAAATTATTTCTATTATATTATCCTTTAATTATTTTATTTTATTTCTTAAATAAATATATATATATATTGTTGTAATTGAATTTTAAAAGAATTTGTAACAAGAACTCTTATTCCTCCCTATTTATTTTTCGAAAAAATTCTTGCAACACACGACACGAACACTTTTACTCTCCATACTTTCTCTTGATATACGTAACAATTATATAAAGGGCCCAAGCTGACAAAAGAAAAGACAATCCACGTTCGTGAAATAAGTCGTGAAATTTTTTGTTTTCTTATTCATTCGAACGCGTCCACCAAGTCAATCGACGACTTTAATTTTCTCTCCATTAAATTCGACATAGTAAAACGATTATGCAAATGTATGTTTTCGCTTTGTGCACGTAACTAAAATTGTCAATCTGCGTGTTTTGTTTACTGGTAAAACGTCACAGTCTAATAGAGTTCAAAATTACACACCTCGCTTTTTAATCGGTTTGTATATGACGATGTCATCGAGTGCAATCATTCTACATAGGTCGATATAATGTTTTATTGATTTTATATTAATTGTTTAATTGATTTTATAAAATTTGGAAAATTTAAATTTTAATAAGATATTTAAAAAATAGATGATTTATATCGAAAAATTGAAATATTATTAAAAACATTCTGTTTATTTCCTAATTTTCTAAGCTCATCAATCTTTTTTTAAAATTCTCATTATTCGATTACACATACATTCTTTTAAATAAATTCGTTGTTAATTGAATTGGTCAAGAAACGAGATCCGTATTTTGTAGAAAAAATTTACAATTCTTGAACGACAAAAAAAAATCGAATTGAATTTAATAAAAAAATTATTCATGTTACGAATAATTCTATTTTCTGAAATTATACAAACTTATTCAAAATCAGAATTTAGAATCGAATTCATTATTCGTAAAAAATAATAAAAAGTAGAATTATCTTGTAAAAGTTGTCATATAACTGCAGGGTGTCCAACAGAATTCAATAGAATTAATTATCGAAATCGAAAAATTAAATCGAGGATTCCATTTTTTGCAAAAGTTTGAAAATTTACGATCAAAATTAATTTGACTTTCGAGAGATTACTCGTATTTTAAAGAATTCGCTAGACATCAGTTCTAGGGATCCCCAAATCTAAATCTACTTTTTCATTCGTATTGAATAGTTACAACTATTTCAAGAAAATAAAGAAATAAGTTGTTTTTCGACTTACCTATAGACACCATAATGTTTGCCACTGGCACGGTCACCGCAGATCGAGCAGAGGTGCTTGCTTCCGGAGAGGGGGTGGTTCGGCGGGTAGGGTGCGACTGCTTTGTTCTGGCCACTCGGCGACGTACTTAGAAGGTTGCTGTGACAACCAGCGGTGAAGGATCTTACATGCAAAGAAGAGAGTAACAAAAACTCGAGCTACGAAACTACTGCCCCTGAATCGAGCAAAATACTGTTGTTTTTCCATTGAAAACTAATAATTAACCCTCTGATAACCAAATTTACTCTAAAAAAAAAAAAAAAAAAAAATTAAATCATAAAATTAATTTATAGAAATGTAGCTCGTGAAACATTTTTAGAATAATTTCGTTAATAAGCGTCGTATCTAATTTTTTCAACTAACTTGATTAGAAAATTTAAAAATTTTCATCAAAATTTCACGAGTTACGATGAATAATATTATATGAAAGTTGAAAGTCGAAAAATATTTCGCTCGATTCCTTCGTTAAGGGCGATAACTACGCTCGCAAGTATACCCTCGATTTACGATGTCGTTCGCCAGATATCTGTCGAATCGATACAATCGCGTATCGCACATCTGTCCCATCGATGCATTGTCGACAATTGTTAAATCTTAAGAATCATTCGATTTACGATGGTGTTACTTACCCCGGGCTATTGGGGCCGGAAGGACTGAAGTTTCCGGGGTTGATGAGGCTTGCTGTGTCGGGTTTCATGTCGAGTGGACTTTGCGGGCCCACAGAGGACATGGACATATTGCTGTTGTCCAGACTTAGCCCTGGAACAGACAAATATAAATATATCTATGTTAGAAGAAAAAAAAAAAAAAAAAAAAAAAAAAAAAGTTTGTAGAAATTATTTGTAGATTTTATTTCTACAATTAATTGAAATCACATATCACTTATTTATAACTTAAGTGGCGAGAAATTTCTAATTCTTTCCAGGTTGTTAGAAATTTAATCAACTTTTCCTACTTTTCTTCGATTTAAAAAATTATTTAATTATTTTTTTTTTTTTTTTTTTAGAAAACGACGTTGAAGCGATGATATATACATGTCCCAATAAAACGTCACTTTCTAATGCGTCACAGAATTATACTTTTACCCCATTAATATTCACGACACGACGTCCTTTTACTTTCAGCCTCGAACGACCGAGATTCCCATTTGTCGATCGATCGAGGACGACTCGTCCACGACGTAACTACGCTAATTATCTCGTCGAGATTCCAATTTATAATTTACAATAATAGGAATAATAAAAAGCAATAAGAATTAATGAATAATAACGAATTGATCAATTATACTAATTTCCGTACACAGACTACCGATCGAAAATATTATTCGAACATTATTGGTGAAATAAAGATTACATATGTAAGGTATTCTAGTTTTTTTTAACAAATAAATTGTCGATATATTGTGAATGAGAGAAAAAAAACGTAAAATATTAAAAGCTTTGTTATAAAAAGTTATAACAAAAATACGAAATAGACTCGTGGTACACAAAATAAGAGTAAAGCAATTTACGTTCGCGTTATTTATCCAAAAAGTAATTAATTCTGCATCTCAAAATGTCTACCGTTCTTGACAATGCAAGATTGACAATGGTTGAAAATAGAATTTATTATGTGACAAATTGCATTTCCATTTTGATTTATTTCAACTGGCGCAAACAAACTAAAGATAAATATTGTTGATCTATTCCTGCATTATATCGTATAACCTAAATCTGTTCCTTTCGTATTTTCTTCACCATTTTTTAATGAAGCATTAACGATCCGCGTTTATATAACTATTTTTCTTTTTTTTTTTTTCCTTATTTTTCGATCCATTAAATGTAATACTAACGAAATTGAGGACACCCTGTACAAGTGTTACGATGCATGCTAATCACTAAATAGGATTAAGAATTAAAGCTAATTTGTTGAGTCATTTACGTCGTCGAATCGTTTTATGTAAAGTTTTAGTGTTGCATAATATATTTCTAATCCAATCCTTTTTTCGGGAAAAAAGAAAAAGAAAGAAACAGATGAATAAAAATTCCCTGAAATTAATCAATTTCATGATAAATCTTCGTGAATGATTTGTTTCTCATCGTGTAAAAAGATAACAACGGGGTGAGAAAATGGAAAAAATAAATTCCGACCCATATTCGCAAACAGTGTATCACAGTTTTATGCTTCGATGGTGGAAGCAAGTACGAGCAAGTAGGAATACAAATCGTTCATTTCACCGCGTTCATTCTCGTAATTCTGATCGTTCTATCATCTTGCTCCATTCTACCACACTATACTTCTACTCGATGCTTCTTTTTTCACGCTCTATTTCTGATTCGTTACAAACCGAATCGTTTGTACATATGCGTCGTTGATTTTCTGCGATACGCAAGACAGAAGATAAACGACGTTTTAACAGGGTTCGGTCGAGCATTGTAGTCCTCTTGATTGAACGAAAGGAAGAGGAATGTAATCGTTGGAAACAATAAAGAAAAGGCAAAACGAGGGAGAGCCGTGGAGAATCGAGGAGAGACAGGGAGAGACAGGGAGAGACAGGGAGAGACAGGGAGATTTACGAGTCCTTACAATAATAATTATAAATCACGATTCGTTTTCTTTTATTTTTCTTTCTGTTCTTTTATTTTATTTCTTTTATTTCTTCTTTTATTTTTATTTTCCTATTTTTCTTCCCTTTTTTATCTGGAAATCGAAAATCGATACACGAGGATATTATGATTCTTTTCTCGATTATGTAGCAAGAAATGAATTCTAGAACTGTTGGTTTTAAACTCGTCGTCGAAATTTCACTGCATCTTTTCTCGTCGTTTAAGATTTCGTTAACCTTGCAACAGGTAATTTCCACGGGACATCTTACGTCATCTCGCTGCACACACGTCGGCCTTGACACACTAATCTGAACAGAGTCAAATTATCCGAATTTTTTTGAAAATCGAGTCAATAAACAAAGTAACCCGACAATGTTAGCTATAAAAATAAAAATAATGAAAATTAAATTTCTGAGATTTTAGAAAGTTAAATAATACTAAATGACTAAAACGATAGATATTCAATAACAATTATTTAAAAATTGGATTTAAAATTAAATACTGTGAGTCATTTTTCATCCTCAGTGAAAGTTCAGCAATTATAACTCTAATGATATCATTATACTATCATATCATATTTAAAAAGATAATCTCTCAAATAAAAAGCGATCTAACCTAATCTCAACTCTAAAATAATCAAAGACTATCTTTTAAAATGGACTTCTGCACCAACAAAAGGATCAAAACAAAGGAATCAAAGAATTCCGTGGAAAACTCTATTCACTAGATCGAGACGTACTCTACTTAACACGCTATCGGCCGCTCATCAACCACGCATTTCCGCGGAAAATATAATTACACCGAGGCCGTAACTCTCCTCAACGACTTCTATTTCGAGTGTTAGGGTCGCCGATTGCGCGTCGCTCATCGCGGTCGTTTATTAAACGCCGTTGCTTTAATTACGCAATCGTCGAGCGTGCAAAATGGATCGAAGGTCATCGACAAATGGCGAAACGAAGTTCTCACGTCTGCATCAAACTAGGTATAGATCGAACTGGAAATATCTATCCACTTTAACCCTTTTTAGAAAGTTTAAATGGAGATGGAGTATTTTTAAAATTGCCAACAATATTTAATCACGATCCTAACACTCAAGATTCAAACATATCTGCGTCATCGATCGATTGACGATCAATCTGAAAAAAAATTAACAAACTTCGTTCTTCGAATATCTTCTTTATCGAATAACTTCTTCGAAAAATACCAGCTTTCATATCGAGTAACGCATCAAACACAACGAAGAATCCATAAATTCCGAAACATCGTCTTGAAAATTCCATGCACCACGCAATTTTCTGTGAAAATAACCTTAGCCAGTTCTCACGGAACCAAGGCGGAAGGAAAAAGATCTACAGTGGTGGTGATCGATCGAAACTACGATTTGGTAAATTCTGTATTATCAAGCGAGTTGTGTGAACGCGGCTTTAAGGAGGGCGAGGAGACGAGGACGCGCGAGAGTGGCTGCAAGGCCAAGTCCGGTGACGGTACATTATACCGGCAGAGTGTCGGGCACCTTGACCAGGCGCAAACACGGCTGGTGCAATGCTCGAAAACCGTGTTGTACACCGTGGTGGGCCGACGAGACGCCTCGTTTGAGCGATTGCACTTGGCCAATTCGTGCGTTTTCGATGCGGCGACGGATAATGTTATCAAGCGAGCTGTAGAAAATTTATGGGACTGGATGTCGATTCGACACGGTGTCAACGATCAACTATGATTACAAAATGTTTTGCTCGTAGAAAAATATATATAATAATTCGAGCGTTTGAAAAAGTAAGAAAAATAGAAGTGGTGCTAATAGTGGCGCTAGTGTCGCTTGTAGCGTAAATCTAATACGAAAATGATAACGAAATTGAGAATAAAAAATGTTACGTTAATTATTTTTTAACTTTTTGTAGTGAACAATTTGTAACCACTTTAATTTTTCTCGCGAAGAATGATACGTAACGAAGAAAAATTAACGAAAAAGAGAAAGTATTAATTCTCGAGTCAGAAGAGGGCCGATTCGAAACATCTCTTCTCCTTAAAATGATCATTCAACACGCTCCTCGAGCAAAAAAAGAGAGAGAAATAACGAAACGCTTTCATAACGAATCGCATGCATTTTGCATCGACCAAAGGAGCCACCAAAAGGAGAAGAATAAATTACGGTTACGAGTCTCACTTGAAGAAGGAGAGAGAAAAAAAAAAGATGAAACGAGAGGCAAAGAAAGGAGGAAAAAAAAAACTCGAGATGGAAAGAGAAGAGAGAGAAAGTGGACCGACCTACGCCAACAATGAGTCAAGTGCGTCCACTTCTTTTGAATATTTAAAAAATATATATATATTCGCCTTTAAAAACGAAACAATCTGATGTTCAAGGGCAAAAGAGCGAAATTGGGAATGTTCACGGGTGTCTAGTATCGATCCGCGTTCTCCAACGACGAAACGCTCGAGGATTCTTTTGTTCAGCGCGATCCATCCCTCCGGAATGCGTTATCGCGCCCCTTTCTGCGAACGAAATAAAATGCGCATTGGAAGGGATTGGAAAAGTGATGAAAGCGTCGTTACGAGGAGAGCCGTGGCGGTTGAGCAATTTCACAAGTGATGGATGAAAATTCGAAGGATGATGGAACACGTTGCGATTGGAATGGGATTTCGTTTCGATCCTTATTCTCTCTTATTTTTGAGGCAAGGATTTATTTTTGCTTTCAAGATGTATAATGAGATAGATATTTTTAGTTTTAAAGAAAGAAACGATACAATGTGATCTGCGTCTCTGATTAAAATTAATATTGCGGAGTAAATTAGATTATAGAATTAAATAGAGAGAGAGAGAGAGAAATGTAAGAAAAATGTTATATCGTGAAATATTTTCAAGAAAGAAGAGAAAGATGACGAATTTTTCGACGACGAAACTCGAGACAGGGTAAGAATGGACAAACCGAGGGGGTTAATACCAGATGTATCACGGAGAAAAGAGGAAAGCACAAGTCTTGACAGGCGACAAAAGGGAAGCGTTATTAAAAAGAGGTATAATAGACGACACCGTGTATCGCGACTATTCTCACACATTGATTGAGAACGAAAAGAATTTTTTGCACGTTCGAACGAAATAAAAACTTATTCCCGCGTTCTCTCTCATAATCGTGAAAAATTATAGCTGTGGCGTGACGTATAATTTATGGAACGGAT